TGACGCTACTCGTGAAACCAGAGAATTTTCTATTCGTTCTCGTTGGTTTACCGGACCATCTTTTCTTCTTCTCCCGGAAGATTCCTGGCCCAGTGAACCAACCACTTACAAACCGCCGACCGCGGAGGAATACAAAACTGTTTCCAAAGTAGTTGGATGTGTAGTTAGTACATCAGCGGAACCGTCTACCACTTCACCAGTGGTAGCTGACTATCGTCGGTTCAGCAGATGGGTACGTCTGCTCAGAGCTACAGCTCGAGCACATCAGTCAGCTAAAATGTTTCGGTCTCTCTTACCTCAAAATTCGAAATCTTTTGATACGACACTCCGTTGCGACCGTAATTTTCTTTTACTGTCTGTTGACGACCTAAATTCAGCGGAACTCCATTTATTGAAATCTATTCAGCGTGATTCTTTCGCAGATGAAATAAATTGTATTCACGCAGGACACTCCGTTTCCAATCGTAGTAGTAGGCTAAAGAAATTGTCCTTGCTTTTGGATAAAGACGGTCTTCTCCGTTTATCCGGTCGCACCTCCGCCTCGAATGCGGTAGAGTCCCGCCCCATTGTCCTTGACGGAAAACATCACATCACTAGGATGTTAATTCACTCATACCACATGAAATACGCACACGCCAATAATGAACTCGTGGTAAACGAATTGCGCCAGAGATTTTACATCATTGGCTTAAGAACCGCTGTCAAACACGTTGCAACTAGATGTCAAGTCTGTAGGATCCAGAAAGCGAAGCCTATTACACCACCAGTTGGAGACTTACCTGACGTACGGATGGCTTACAATGAGCGTCCATTTACCTATGTTGGTTTGGATTATTTTGGCCCACTCAGTGTTACCATCGGCCGAAGACATGTGAAAAGATGGGTGGCTCTCTATACTTGTCTAACTATTAGAGCTGTCCACCTCGAGGTAGTGGAGAGTCTTTCTTCGGATTCCGCTATTATGAGCCTGCGCCGTTTTATTGCCCGTCGGGGATGCCCGTCATGTATATATTCAGATAACGGGACAGCATTTGTTGGGGCCTCCAAAATCATTAACGACGTTTATGAGTTTGCATCCAACAAGCAGATTAGATGGAAATTTATTCCGCCATCGGCTCCATTCATGGGAGGATGTTGGGAGAGATTGGTAAAAAATGTGAAGTGTGCTTTGGCTACGACGTTGAAAGACAGGTCACCACGAGAAGAGGTCTTCCAAACTCTACTAATGGAAGCGGAGGCAGTTGTCAACTCAAGACCTTTAACTCATGTCTCCGTTGACCGTGATGCGGAAGAAGCTCTCACGCCATTTTCGTTTTTAATCGGCTCTACTTCCAATGACCTTCAGACACGACGTTTTGACGATACCGATCTTTCCAGTCGAGCGCAATGGAGAAAGGCACAACATCTGGCCGATAATTTTTGGCAACGCTTTGTGCGTGAATACTTGCCAACATTAGTACCACGGCGCTCTTCATCAGAGAAATATCAGAAACTGGAGATAGGAGATTTGGTGTGCGTTGTAGATGGGACCTTACCAAGACGTTGCTGGCCACGTGGACGTATAGTAGCTACGTATCCTGGCAAGGACAATATCGTTCGAGTAGTAGATGTGTCCACTAAAGGGGGGGTCCTGCGTCGTCCAGTCCGAAAACTTGCACAGTTGGTCGTTTCCTAAATTACTAGGTGTCTTCACCGCCGGGGGCCATGTTCACGACTAACTGTGCTCTAATATGTAAATAGCTTTTGATACCAGGTTTATTATACTCTTTGATTTTATATAACTATACTTTTTGGAATACTATATTTGTACATATTGAAATAGATTATAAAATAAAAATAATTAAATGTCAGTGTTCTAAAGACAAGCGGTCGTATCATTTACAAATCCTTATTATTCCAAATTCCCGAAATCTTATAACTTTTTTCCTGACGTTTCCCTAACTTTGCTTACAAATAAATTGTCAATGGCTAAATGCACAAACCGTGCGAAGCCAAAAAAAAAAAAACCATTCACTTGCACTATTAAAAAGTTGTAGTGTAGAGCCAAGATTCTAACCACAGAACAGAAAAAAAAGATTCTTACTCTACATGCTCTTCCTTCACAAACCTACACCCTATTCAAAATGTGGTGTGGCTTGGCCGTTTAATTTCTACAAGAAATTTTTTAAAAGCGGTTTCATTATTTAAGAAACTGCTAATAAAATCGGGCGAAGGTTATCTGTAGATTACTTCAAAAAATACAATTTTGTTAAAAAAATTTAATCATCGGTGTTTCTGTTGTTCGAAAAAAAAAAAACTTTATTTTTAGTGATATTTAGTTTTTTTTTCTATAGGCATCACTAAATATATTAAATATTAGCTTTCCGCCCGCGTGGTCTTTAGGGAACTGTTTACTTGGATATCGATTCATATCATGATACGGATATACTTAATTACAATAATAAATTGAACAGTAACAATACAACCCCAAGTAACATTAAGCGCTAACATAAGAGTTAGAATAGATCTACAAAAGAGCTTAACAGATCCTGTGGTGTTCAATAAGTGCTTTCACATGGAATTATATGGAGCTATAACTCTACTATACCCCTGGATTGGGCACAAATTCTTATGACCTTAGGTTCCACTATGGCGATATAGTAGAGTTACAGAATGCATTTAAGAGATATAGTATAGTTATTGTGGAGGAGGTGGAGGTACATAAGCGCTAACTGCGTTCTAAAGCATTGTAAAAGAAGTATTTAAGTGTCTAGTGACTCGTCAAGCGGTATAATAGAGCTATAGGCTCCCTTCAGACCTTTGAGTGCCATAAAGGAAGCAAATGTATGAATATTAACTCCGTAAGGTTTATAGTAGATCTAAGATGCACCTTACTAACTCTTTAAGCGGTTATAGGGTGGCAATAAGGTAAATTGTAACACCGCGAGTTGCAGTACAGATCTAAAATAGGAAATTTTAACGTTTAAAGACATAGTCCTAGCCTGCTTAACATTACGTTTTGCCTTAATGTCAAATTGTTACTACATCTAATCTCCACACTAATGGTCTTTACGAAAAAAATGACGGAGTTAAATGGTGAAATCTTAACTTGTTAATGGAAAATTGATGCGGAATTTTCATTGCTTTACTGTGAATGTGGCTATATATTATAAGCAAATAATTAAGGAACCCACTCTTAGTTGTGTATTTATGTAAAAAAATGTTTCACTTGAAGTAAAGCAAAACATTTTTTTAATAAAAATGTTTTAATTCTTTGCCTATTGATTGAAAAATGTCATGAACCTGTTATCAAAACGCTAGAAAGAGAAATAACTTCATTGTCATAAGTTTTTCAACTTTTAAAGCACTTTTTAGTCGAACTAGGTTACGACGCCATTTTATTGATTTACATAAGCGATAACGTGACCCAATAGAGTTATTAAAGTGGCAATAAAGTCAAAAATGCAACTTTAGGTAATATAGAGACTATAGTTATCACTATGGGATTAATTAATAGGGGGAAATACCTATAATATGCATCCCTAAGTTACACACAGGAGTTATGTATCCCATTAGGAGTTTGATTTTATAAAAGAGTTAAGAAACACACTTATAGAGCTAGTAGCGTTAATTGCTCCCTATGCGCAACCACAACCTATAATACAGCTACTAATCAACCTTTATAACACTTTAGGTCCTAAAGTAAGCTCTATTTGCAGCTGTTATGTTAGTTGGGACAGCTGACAGCTTAGTAATTTCAGGGTATTTGGCGATACCCTTTCAGTTCTTTTGTTAGAAAAAACAACTTATTCGATTTCGATCAAATGGATATGGGATCACCCCGGGATTATTAACAGTCTAACAAAATATAATTTTGAATATTAATCAAGAAATCAGTGAAAATACATAAAAATAGTTATTTATAATATAAACAAATGTGATAATCCGATTTCGAGAAAAAGATATGGGACCAACACCAGCCCATAAGATTTCTAAGAATTAATAAATAAATAAATAAATATTTAACAACATCACATACATTGCTCAGATTCCAAGATGAGTAGCTAAAGCCCCCGTATTATGGAGTATCTGAGACAACGACGGTACCACTACACCCAAACTCGAGTCAATATAGAAAAGTTCATTTTCTACATTGGCCCGACCGGGAATCGAACCCGGGACCTTAGAGATGGCGACACATACAACGCCGTCGAATTATAACCTCTTTTATAACTTTTCAAGTTTGAAGTATGTTAAAATTATATAAATTGTTTTTTCACTTTCCATTTCAGTTTGTATGAAATATATAAAAGCTAAAAAAAAGAACCGACTTCAAACTTAAAAAAAGTGAAAAATAATACTTAGCTCAAAAGCGTCGGGCGGAAGTTTTCTGTAGGTTATTAATTGATTTATAGGCGCCCGACTTTAATAGCATTTTATTGAATAAGTCATTTTTGAGATAAGTACTCGTATCATTTTCACTTTTATTATTATTTAAGTTTTTGTATTTTATGCTTGTTAGTGATATTGATATTTTTATACAGTAGGTTACACTAAAAATAATTTTCTGAAAATCGCGTAAAACCGTGTTAAAGTGCGAACCTTTACTTTTTTTTACCCGACTGCGCGACGCAAAGGTGGGTAATGTGTTTATCAGTCTATGTATGTATGTTTGTTTCTATGTGGCGTTCTAGAGACTAAATGCGTAGGCCGATTTTGATGATTCTTACGTCAATCGATTCGTCTTAACCTTGTGAGTGTCACTAAAGACATGACAGTAATCAAAATTCACCACAGCGACAACCAGACGCCATATTGTCTAAATGAAAAACATACATGACTTACATGACATACGAACCTACTTAGGTACATGAGAAATGTTAGAATATCGGAGTAATCAAAGTCCCTTGCATTAGCCGTAACCAATCTTTTTTTTTATACAGAAAGCTGCAACCGACCTAATATGCAGAATAAGTTTGTTTTATAGCTTTCCTCTTTTACAGAAACCTAATAAAATTAAAATGCGCCGAGGTGGTCGAGGTGCGGGAGCATGGACCAAGTTTAGGCTACTGATGTGGAAGAATTTCCTTCAACAATGGCGACACCCTCTACAAACAGCAACAGAGTTGCTTTTGCCTGTGGCCACTATGTGCTTGGTTTTGCTACTGCGATGGCAAATTGAACCTGAAGTTAGGCCCGTGACTGTATTTTCATCTTTCCCAGCCCATACTTTGAACGAATCGACCACCATATTGTAAGTATTTACAGAGTTTCATAAATTAAGGTATATCCTTTTCTACGGTTGCGTTATCATCAATCAGCTTATAATGTTCCCACTGCGGCACAGGCCTTCTCTATGGATGGATCGAACGGAACCGATTATATAATGGGCCACCAGGCACAGAATGCCTAAGTACGGTCTGCCTTTGTACGGTTGTGCATGAAGCAATAAGTATAAATAAATACCATATCCCCCTCACGCCCCAATGCCAACGGGATGGATCGAAGCACGGAAGAGCTAGACATAATATACAGTTGCAGCTAAAACGATTCCTTGCGGTAGATAGTGTAACAGACAGAGGACAACATTTCAAGTTGAATAACGAAACGTAAAAATCTGGCCAAGTGCAAGTTGGACTCGAGCACGAAGGGTTCCGTGCCGGAAACGATTAAATAAATCATATTTGTTGTATGAGAGCACACCTTATATATTTGATTAAAATTAATTTAATTACATATTTTAAAAGTTATATTGTCTGTAAATATTACAAGCGTCTACCTGTTCTGGATATCAATATCGAGCAAAAACAAGTCAAATTGTCACGTTTGTTGTATAGGAGTCCGCTTCAATATTTATTTTATTCTGGTTTTTAGTAGTATTTTTGAAGCGGCAACAGAAATACATCATCTGTGAAAATTAAAATTAATATAAAACATCATATATTATTACGGATAGGACTGTTGTAGCTATTTTTAATTCAGTAAAAACCATTTTTTTTAATTTATCAATTTAGTGGATTACCTTATGATCCTGATTCCAGATTCTATTGAATATTTAAAATTATAAATAGTAAATAGAAATTATAATGTATTTGAGATTTTATAATAAACGCGCCGTTTGTAGGGCTCCCGCGGACGTCATCTGTGAAAATTAAAATTAATCTAAAACATCATATATTATTACGGATAGGACTGTTGTAGCTATTTTTAATTCAGTAAAAACCATTTTTTTTAATTTATCAATTTAGTGGATTACCTTATGATCCTGATTCCAGATTCTATTAAATATTTAAAATTATAAATAGTAAATAGAAATTATAATGTATTTGAGATTTTTATAATAAACGCGCCGTTTGTAGGGCTCCCGCGGACGTTTTTCTTTTTCAGGTGCGGAACCTAAAAACTATTTATAGTCTCGTTTGTTTACCTTTTTAAAAATGATTTCAATTTTTGTGGGATAATATTTTAAAAAAGCTAATTGTTTCAGTCCAGCAATGAACTTAACGGAACTTTCCATCGCTTACTCTCCGAAGAGCGAAGTTTTGGATGATGTCGTTAGATCAGCAGTAGCAAATTTACTGATAATTAATGCCCATGATATAATAAGGGATATCTTGAATAATTTTGAGATTCCAGAAATAACCCTTCCACCAGAAATTTCTATTCCACCAGGAATAACTCTTCCACCGGAAATATCACTCCCACCAGGCATAACACTGCCACCAGAAATATCTCTCCCACCAGGAATAACTCTGCCGCCTGGAATAACTTTTCCACCAGGAATAACTCTCCCACCAGGAATAACTCTCCCGCCAGGAATAACTCTTCCGCCAGAAATTAGTATACCCGATCTTGAGAATTTAAATAGCACAGTTTATGAAATAATAAAGTCGCTTATAAGAGTGGATACATATAACAGCAGTGCAGATTTACAGAGCATTTATACTTATGAAGCAACTACTCGGAGTGTAATAGCAGCTATAGAATTTGACGATAGCCTTTTCGGTACGTAAATAAAACCATAATTTATTTAAAGTAGAAAAGTAACAATCCTTGAATATGAGAATATATAATTGAATGTCTTTGACAAGTAATTTAAAAAAAATGAGGCTTTAGGAGGTAGTTACTTCGAGTTAGATGCCTGACTCTAGCATAGTTTATAAAGTAGGTATATACATTTTTATGGTATATAGTAGCAATCCCGTTTTTAGAAATCATTCTAATGCATTTAGGTTGTACATCGTGTGCTACGAGAAAAACATAACGCGTTTAAGCAGAGCCACCGCCTAACTTTCTAGCCTTAGGATACGACATCTTAACGTTGTTACGACGATATTTCGTTTCGTGTTACTATTTTGACATGTCATTTAGTGGATAAACCCAAGGATCACTCAATGGGTTTTAATGTGATCATTTTCCTTTGATCCCGATCGATAGGGCTAGATTTTGTAGTTATTCAGTTATTTTTAGACCTTATTTTTATTAACATTCCTTTTTAGATACAACGGAACTACCAGCAAATATAAAGTATTCTATACGTTTCCCGGAAAGGCCGCGGCACAATCAGTTCGCTGGTGTGGGTTCACGTACTTGGAGAACAGATCTCTTGTTTCCAAGTTTTGAACTCCCCGGACCAAGAAGTTCAAATTCAAATGGCGGTCGTGATCCTGGTAATGTAAACCTGTGTTTATTGATATTACATGTTTTTATATACGTAGATTATTTCACATATATTCAATTATGAAAGTTATTTTTTTTTAGGATATGTACCTGAAATGTTTATAGCCTTACAGCATATGATATCAACTACGCTAATATCTAAGCTGACTGGCGAATCCAGCTTTATACCATTTAATGTGAATCTCCAGCGATATCCACACCCAGCGTTCATGCATGACTTAGTTGTAGAAGCTCTTCAGTTGCTATTTCCTACGTTTATAATGCTCAGCTTCAGCTATACAGCTGTAAACATCACTAGAGCAATCACCGTGGAAAAAGAACTTCAAATAAAAGTAATTTGCTGTTTTCGTTGTAACTACTATGATTACAGTTTGTTTTTATTTTTAACCGGCTTCAAAATCGAAAAGGAGTAGGTTATATTCGACGGCGATGATTCAATTAATTTTCGGGTGTATTTATAGTTTTTGAAATGTGCTAATTAAGTCATTTTATTTCATATCCTATACGGAATGCTTGAGTAATATATATTTATTAGTTTCTTACTTTATGCTCTCTAGAGGGCGCTGTTGCCATTTTAATGTAACGTCACATAGCACGCGGGCAACTAAAACTCTTTTGATGATACTTCATTTGTCCAGTTACGATGACTAGTTTTGACGTTATAAGGGAACAAATGAACATTCCTAGATTCATACACACATACCGACTAAATATAGTAACCCTCCTTTTCACTTCACCGTAATCGGGTAAAAAATATCAATATCACAAAAACTCATGAAATAAAAACTTTTTATAAAAAGTAGAACCGACTTTGAACTTTAAAAAAGTGAAGTGATGAATACTTATCTCAAAAGCGACTTATTCAAGAAAATGCTATTGAAGTCGGACGCCTATCATTTAATTAATGACCTACAGAAAACCTTCGCCCGACTTCAAGTCGCTTTGAGATAAGTATAATTTATCACTCTTTTAAATGTCGGTTCTAATTATTATAAAAAGTTTTTATTCTAGTTGATCAGTTTTATATTCACAATGCTATATACTGAAAAATATTCTTAATATAAAATGCTTAAAAAACTGCAGCAGTCGCCCGGATTGCGAAAGGGACAAAGTGATTTTTTTAAGCTTTAAGAATATTTTTCAGAGTAGCATTATGAATGCAAAATTAATCAAATATAATAATAATTAGAATAAATTTTCATCTTTATCGAAAATTTCAATATTTGTAAAAATGTTTACTTTGGCTGTTTGGGTGGATTGCCTGATAATTGATGAAAATACGCTCTGTAGTAGCGAAAAATTAACAAGTGCTTGAAAAATTCGACAGTCCTATTAGCACCTGGGTAGCTCAGTGGTTAGAGCAGTTACCCGGATTGCGAAATGTCATGGATTCGAGTTCCATCTCAGAGTGCCAGGGACAAAGAGATTTTTTTTACCCTTTTTCATTAAGAATAAGTTTTTATTCATTGTAGATTATTATATATACTTACCTAATGTGTGTTGTGGTTTTAGGAAACATTGAAAATAATGGGAATGCCAACCTGGATACATTGGACTGCCTGGTTTTGTAAACAATTTATTTTTATATTATTCGCAGCTGTCTTAATAGTGATTATACTAAAGGTAGACATTTCAACTTTTATATCGTTCAAGTAAAATAGACTTATATCTATACTAATAATAAAGCTGAAGAATTTGTTTGTCGCTACGCTTAAATCTCAGGAGCTACTGGAACGAATTGAATTATTGTTATTGTGTTGAATAGTCCACTTATCGAGGAAGGCTATAGGCTGTATAACATCACGCTATGACTTAAAGGTGTGGAGCAGAAATGAAAAATGTTACATAAAACGGGAGAATATTTTACATTTTAAAGCTCTTATTTTACATTTTAAACGGTGAAAGTTACGCAAAAATCATGTATAACGAAATCGATCCTCTTTAAAAGTTCTAAAAAAGTCCGCGGCAGCATATGGCTATCTTAAATCTTATCCCGAAAAAAGCACATTAAGGGATGAAAATGTCATTTTAATTATATTCCATGTTTTTTTTTTATCTGAGATGGGCTCACTCTTGACCTCAGGCGTAATAACATTGAGCGTAAGGTCATCCTTTTCTATTATTAAAATGATTTAAGCTGCCTCTACTGAGCAATAGATGGTGTTACTGTACTTTTGAAACGGGAGTTTTATTTATGTATTAACATTAATCAGATTGATAAATGTTTTTATTCAGTAAATGAGATTTGAAATAAAATATAACATTTGGAATATTTTAATTTAATAACATATAATAGTTAAGTTATTGCATACTGTTTAACAGTACAATATGTGATAATTATAGTGTTTTCTATAATTTTGTAGTTGGTTAGAGTACCTATATAGCCATTATCTTTGCGTTATGTCTAAAAAAGGATTTTACGTTTTTTCGTTTTCCAAAATAATTTTGATAATTTTCATTGCTTACGTTCACAAGTCAAATAGGGTTGTCGTTTTGCCCTATGAGTACGGAACCCCAAAAATTAAAGATACTGCCGGAAGTCACTATACCACGCGGACGAAGTGGCGGGCACAGCTATTGTTATATATTCAATTTATTACTGAAGTTTTAATTAAAGGGTTACTTTTGTGTTCTAGGTCAATTGGTTCACTAACGAAGATGGATTCAGTGATTACGCTGCGTTCACAAATACACCGTGGAGTGTCTTGTTGTTTTACTTAGTCTTATATCTGTCGTGCATGATATTTTTCTGCTTCATGTTAAGCGGTTTCTTTTCAAAAGGTATATTGACACGTGGGCAAGTAGACTGGTGTTTTTTTTATAAGTTTAGTTTTAAAGTGTTGTAATATTTATTGTGCAGGTAGTACAGCGTCACTATTCGCGGGTATTATATGGTTTCTCACTTATATCCCGGCGTTTATGCTGGCAATGGATATCAACATGTCAATAGCTGTCCAGATCTTGACATGCCTCAGTATAAATTCCGCAATGTCATACGGGTTCCAACTCATGTTGGCAAGGGAGAGCACGGGTGGTATGTTCATTACACCTTTTATATCAAAATAATTTATTATTATTACACTAGAAAAAAATATTATCTAGTGTAATAATAAATTTAGTCACAAACATTAGAAAAAAAGGATGTATATTCTATTAGTTGAGTATTCAACAGTTTTTGTTTAGATTTAAGTACGTGCATGCAATGAATTATTGGAAATCTACAATATTTTCACATAAACAAGTTTCTATAAAGTATCTTATTATTAAGTGATTACTTTATAATGTACTAGCTTTCGCCAGCGTCTTCGCCCGCGTGGACCCTAGGGAAATGTTTAGTGGGATAAAAAGTATCCTATTATCTAAGTCAGCTAATACCCTATCTGTATACCAAATTTCATCAAAATCCATTCAGTAGTTTCGGCTTGATTGACGGACAAACACCCAAACAAACAAATTTTCACATTTAAAATATTATTAGGATGTATAAAATAATTTTACGATTCTCCTTGTCGCTCAGTACTTCATATAATAAAAGATAACCAGACAGTTACCGAAATAAATATACTATAAAAATAATATAAATCACGATTCTTTGGTCGACTTTTAAACTCATAGCTCTTAAAATTCAAATTCAAATTTTAAATAGTTAATATTATAATGAATATGTCGTAGACCACTGGGTAAAAGAAGAGAGAGAAAGAAAAACGCGAATCTAATGTCCACACAAAACTAAAATATACACAACTTTTTTTTTAACAAAACGATTACGCAGTTTAGTTGAGATTAAACTCCATCACCATCATCAGCCCCACTGCAAGGGCTCAGGTCTTCCTTATGGATTGGTTGAGTAAGATGGGCCATGAGCCTCCACGCTGAACCAATGCGGATTAGAGGGCACTAATGACTGCAAATGCAGCCGAGACCAACGGCATAACGTGCCTTCCAAATCACGGAATAGCTCAAGATAATAAATTTTTGGTCACCCATCCCTTGACCGACTCTTATTAAATCTGCTAAACAACAACGATCGAGGCGCTTATTCACCATACTACAGAGTTACTAATCCGTATAGCACAGCTTAAAATTCTTACTAAATTTCTTTTGAAAACTTGAACCAAAACAGTGCGATGTACTCGTAGTATACCTACTTAACGCCATCTAGTATAGCACAAAATGTCTAGATTGCGTTTTCTTTCATAGGTACATAAAATTATTTGTACTTAAATATTTTCAAAATTATTTATTTTTGTTATCAATTATGTACTCAAATACCAATTTTAATCGCTATACAATAAAACATTTTGTAAATAATATTAAGTTAATTTATTACAATAACAAATCACATTGCAAACAATGGTTGCTATGGTAACATTTTGATTCCCCATAAAATCTATCACTCCCATTTTTATCCCTTTAAGTGCTAGCTTTCGGGAAAAAATATAACTTACTACCTTCCTAGGGTCATAAACTACCGAAATACCAATTTTCATCCCCTTCGGGGTGAAATTTCCAAAAATCCGTTCTTAGTACACCTCTAAGTATTAAGGGGAATGTTCCCTCCAAATTTCAAGTTTCTACGACCATCGGTTTAGGCTGTGCGTTGTTTGTCAGTCAGTAAGTCAGGACATCTCTTTTTATATATGTATAGATTATGGGCCGATGATAATATTTATTTAGACATAAGGATATGATTTTTTCAGGTATGCAATGGGGAGAATTCTTTTCAGCACCAGTAGTAGATTCTTCGCGGTTGCTTTTCGGTCATGTGGTTATAATGCTGATAGTGAACTGTGTTCTGTATATGGTAGTAGCTCTCTATTTAGAGCAAGTACTGCCAGGGCCATTTGGTACACCGAAAAAGTGGTACTTTCTATTCCAAAAGCAGTTCTGGTGCAGTAACAAGAAGTTAGGTAAAAAAATCCGAAAGCTTTTTCTAATTACGAATTTATTTATTTTATTTAGTTAATATACTATTGTATTTAGTTTCAGGCGAAGAACCAGATATAGTTATTCCACAAACACCTCAAATAACAAAGGAATCAGACCCCTTGGATCATTCGATTGGTGTAGAAATTACGGTAAGCTGATTTTACTCATGTTTTTGTTTGAACTATCGAGATAAAATCTCGATGAACTATCGAGATTTTGCTTGTTTACCTATTTAGAATTTCCATTTTGATACATATAAAGGAAAACGCACTGTTTACGAAGGTTTTGACTATACATACAAGCTTGATTTTAAACCTTAACGCATTGTGGGTAGTGGGAGTTCAAAATCAAATGAGGACATTGGACATATTGTGGCAGCTTAACGTTCGGCTGTATGTACATAACAATAAGAATAAGAAAAACACGGTATTTGTTTCGTAGTTCCAGTTTTTCAACTTTGTTGTTTTACCAAAACGTATTTAATTTTTAAATGTGACCTAGTTACATACAGTATCAACGTTCTTACTGCAAACAGGCCTAGTTGAAAATATTCTCCTCTTTTTAAAAAAAGCGTCATGGATATGAATGACATTTTATATATGTGTATTCCTAAATGTAAGTATTTTAAAAAACTTTTTTTTTTAGAATTTGACTAAAGTGTTTGGAAATAATGTGGCGGTAAACAATTTGTCATTGAATATATACGACGATCAGATAACTGTTCTGTTAGGTCACAACGGTGCCGGGAAATCTACAACAATCTCTATGTTGACAGGTAATTTTACTACATTACTAATTCTTTTTATTTATTTTGAGATTGTCTAAAAAGGTTGAATATTAATTGTGTGAGGTATATGTCGTATACTTGGGCTCGCCAAACGTTACCTATCTGCTAATAGCATTTTTTGGAATTACAGCAAAAAATATAAAGTTTAATGTTTATTTATCGTCTTAAGGTAACTTACCAGCAACAAGAGGATCCATCACGGTGGCCGGCTATGATATGGCGTGGCATACGAGCGATGCTCGCTGCCACATAGGCCTTTGCCCTCAACACAACGTACTTTTCAATGAGCTTACAGTCAAAGAGCATCTAGAATTTTTCTCCCGCCTGAAAGGTTATAAGGGTGGAAGCGTACGTAAAGAGACGGATACGCTCATTGAGAAATTGGAACTACAGGAAAAGGTAAACCCATATTTTACTTTTTTAACTCCATCCCAAGGTTGACTGGAAAAGATCACTTGCAGTGATAAAGCCGCCAATTGTGCGTCTCCTGTTTTCGTAATATAATTGTATTTTTGTTTTGTGTACAAAAATTCTTTATTGTACAAAGAAGATTAAATCTATTCATAATGTATATCATCAGTGTCGCAGCGTGGCAATTATTGCTAAATACGCAACATCGTATCATGACCAGACGATAATGTTGATATGAATTGCAAATGCTTGTCTCGTTGCATAAGCTAAATATGTAATATCTACTGCACACAATTGCTATTGAAAATAAAGCTGTGTTTTAGCGTGACTATCAAGCTCAGGGTCTGTCTGGTGGACAGAAGCGTCGTTTGTGTGTGGGTATAGCTCTCTGTGGTGATGCTCGCGTCGTACTTCTCGATGAGCCAACCTCCGGAATGGACCCATCATCCAGGCGCGCACTTTGGGATCTCCTTCAGAAGGAAAAGCGAGGTATAAAAAACATTATTATTACGATTTCGACAAACGTACTTACTGAGAAACTTACTTAATCTACATCCAAAATTCAATCACATCCAATTACACAGTAATATACTACTGATATAAATAGAAATAAGTAATGTAGTCCTATTAAAAACAAATATTTTGGTATTTCGTGCAGCAATATTTCTTCTACTAATAATACTCAAAAATAAATACAATAATTAAATATTAACAACATGTTAATTTTATCCTGCGAAAACAATAAGCATGATATCCGTAAGATGTCTATGCATTTGGAAAAAACGTCAATCGGAAGTATTTACAAAGCCCTAGACAGGTGTATCAATCGATAACTGTTAAATAGTATGTATTTATAGAAATAACATACAATGTACGCTGTAGTTTAGCTATGTTATCATAATTAAATGTTATCATTTAATTTATATCCGTTCAATGGGAAACTTTGCATCGTATTAATTCTATGATATAAATACAGTTCTCAATATTCTTTATTGTACATAAAGTAAAAATTTAAAATACGTATATTAAATCTAACAATCAAAACAATCGGCGGCCTTATCGTTTAGACGTGATGTCTTCCAAACAACCGTTACAGAAAGGACAAAATAAATTAGAATTAGGCAGGCTCTATATTTTATTTATAGATTGTTTTTGATTTAATAATATATGGAAGGTCAAGGAATCTTCTCACTGATATGGTATTTATTAGATTACTAGCTTTCGCCAGCGGCTTCGCCCGCGTGGACCCTTGGGAAATGTTTAGTAAGATAAAACGTATCTATCAGTATACCAAATTTCAGCAAAATCCGTTCAGTAGTTTCTGCGTGATTGACGGACAAACATTCAAATATGCAAACAAAGAAACTTTCACATTTATAATATTAACTAGCTTTCGCCAGCGGCTTCGCCCGCGTGGACCCTAGGGAAATGTTTAGTGGGTAAATTATCCTACTATCTAAGTCAGCTAACACCCTATCTGTATACCAAATTTCATCAAAATCCGTTCAGAAGTTTCGGCGTGATTGACCGACAACCATCCAAACATCAAAGAAACTTTCATATTTATAATATTAATAGGATAGGATTATGAGAAGCTCGTCAATTCCACAATGTTCTCAATAAGTGTTTTTTTATATTTTTAGGTAGATCCATGATCCTCACAACGCATTTTATGGATGAAGCTGATATTCTAGGTGATCGTATAGCTATAATGGCAAATGGGCAGCTTCAATGCGTCGGTTCTCCATATTTCTTGAAAAGGCACTACGGTGTAGGCTACACTCTGGTCATAGTTAAAGATGAAGGCTTTAAGGAAGATTCATGTACAGAATTAATAAATAAATACATGCCGGGTGTAGTAGTAAAGGAGAATAGGGGTAATACACATTTAACAATATTGCCTTTAAACATTCGTTTACTCGTAATTTATATAAATGTACCTCATTAATATTAAATAAAATAATTTTTTCTAGGAATGGAGGTGACGTACAATTTAAAAAATGACTTCTCCCACTTATTCGAAACAATGCTGAATGATCTCGAAAGTAACACCGATATTATAAAATTTAAAAATTATGGTTTACTTGCAACCACAATGGAAGACGTTTTCATGTCGTAAGTAAATGTCATCGTTGAGTTAATTGATATTCTAATTGTGTCTTAATAGAAATTTGTTAACGATCTTATTTTGTTTCAGAGTTGGATCCGATTTACACAGGGAAACTGACGATATCGAAACAGTTACAGAGTCACTGAGCGATGAAAACACCCAATACGATATCGATGCGTCTTCTTTAGATCGACGTGAGTGATTTTTATATATGTATCGTTTTAAGTATGTACCTATGCTCGATTTTCTATTCTATGACATCGATAAAATATCCTTAGGTATTGCGTGCGAAGATATGATGACAGTAAAAGCGAATATTATAAATTATCTAAGTATTTAGTTGATAATATGAAATATTATCATCTAAATACTTTACAGTCGAAATAAAGGAAATTATGAATAATAATACTCGTATATGAATTGTATTTTTTTCAATAATAACAAAACTTATATACATATATATTCGTGTACTATAACAGGTTTCAATTGTTTTGAAATGATGATTTACCTTGGAAGTTGACTTGGTTAGATATGAGAGGATTATTTATCATAATTTGCTTCAATGTTGAACGAAATAATATAAACAAAGAAATAAATTTTAAATTATTTTAGAACAGACATACCTACACTAATATTATAATCTACACTAATATTATAAAGAGGAAAACCTAGTTTGATTGTAATGAATGGGGTCAAAAACTACTGGACCGATTTTAAAAATTCTTTCAGCATTCGAAAGCTACATTATCCACGAGTAACATAGGCTATATTTCATTTTAGAAAAAAAAAGGTTTCCGTAAGACATTTGGGCCTTTCCGACACAAGGTGTAAAAAATCAACCAGAAAGGTTACTTATTTTGCGTACGCTGCCTAAACTATAAAATATAGAACCATAAAATGTTCTAATTCATTGTAGATCTTATAAATATCAACAAAAAAGTCCAAAATGACAAACGTTTTCCCCTTATATAAAATTAACCCTTCTATTCTTCATCTAGCTATAAGTTGATACTTTTGTTTTTGTTTTTTCTATTTTACTGTTAGCTCTCGGTGATCGGTTACCCAAACGACGCTACAAATCAAAGAATCTTTTACTCCCTTTTATAATCACCAAGGGTTGGGGTTTAATTACTTTTGAACAAAAAATATAAATTTAAAACAACCCAAGGATGTTTAAATTAATTCAGTGAGGGACGAGGAGTCGCTTAGCGGTATTCAGTTGGTGTGCCAACACGTATTGGCGATCTGGCTGAAGCTATGGCTGGTGTGGATCCGGTCTTGGGGCCTGATATTATTGCAGGTGCTCGTACCTACGCTTCTGATCACTTCGACGCTGGGTGTCATGCGATACATTACTTCTTTTACCCCAACTATTCAAAGGCGGGCGCTGTCTCTTGCTAGCGGGTAAATAAGTGTAGACTATTTTTTAAATCATACTGTATATAGTTTTTTTTTCGTAATACGCCTATTTGAAGATGTATGTTGTAATAAGAATTATTGAAATCTTGATAGAAGTGCTTCAACGAGATAAGTAGGTTAATGGTTTTGATAAAATGATTACGGTGCAACTAAACAAAATATGCCATCTTAAGTTTATCCTGCCGTATTATCTCAATTTATACGTACGTTTGTTCTCGTTATCTCCAATTCAAGAGTGACTATGACTGAAATACTTACCGAATGACTCATAAATTGTTTTGTACGTTTGATTTTCTATTTTATAATTACAAGACTTTATTGCCGGTAATGAAGTAATTGATTAGATGACTTATCAAATTGATCAAGCAATTTTCTTTTTGGAAATCAGTAAGGTTAGGTTAGGTGTTAAGTGGCAATGCTTATAGAGCAAATAACCGTACCTCTAGTACAAATTTGTCTATGAAATATATAGCTTAGTTTTCGTTAAAACGAAAACTATTTGTTTACTATATAGTTGTTTACGTTGAATTTTTATGAAGCATCGAATTACTCAATAGAACGAATTTCACTGATTTATTGTGGTTTTTTTTACACGTTTATAAAAAGAAAAAGACAATCTCACAACGATACCGTGCGTCTTCTCGAAAACTATCTTCGTCACATTTTGTTTCCATATATTTCAAAACCAGCGGTAACCATAATAAACTAAAAATGGTAATTATCGAATGGTTTTCGAGTAAATGGCAGTACGAGTTACAGGTTTACCATCTAACTGTAAGTAATTCTAACGAAAAACGAAATGTTTACGTGAGAAAGAGCATTTTGAAGTGAGTGAGAATGAAACATTATTTTGATATTGAAACGACTGTTTTTCTTATCTTATGATCCTATCCAATCTCTAAATATATTTTCTACTAATTAATTCACGAAAATTTCCTCGCCTTATCTTTGTATACTCTTGAGAACATAGTTTGTTAGCATGGCCAAATAATATAGTAAACTTAGAAGCTCACTGAGTCCTCGTATGTCGATAAATTGCAATTAGGTTTTTTATACCAAAGTATTTCCCTCTTTGTTTCAATCTGTACAAATGTACACAATACTTAGCTTGTGTATTTTTTTTTCTTCCTCGGATGTGTCGCTGTTGACAAAGCGGTTATGGTCATGATGAGACAACATTATTAGTGGTTGTATCACCTACCTTTCATTTCTCGTAATCGTTTCGTTCGTTTTTGCTTTTATATTCCTTCAAAAGATCTATTTACCTATTAATCAAGTAACTCAAAAAACTACAAAACTAGCAGATTGAAAAAATAAATACTATAAAAGGTACAACACAATTCCGACATACATTTCCTCTCTTATAATTTAGTATTTATTTATGTATAATGGGAATCTAAGGAGAAGTACGATGTACAGTTGGCTATCATTTCAGAATGTTTATTTCAAAATCAAGGATGAACACTATTTGAAAAGAATCCAATGAGATTTTATGATTTCTAACTGTAGAATATTTATCGTAAAGGTCATCAGCAAATATTATTTAAAATCATCTTTCCTGCAAATAAATAAGACACAGTAGTAGATATGTATTGGTATTTCACATAACTTTTTGAGTAATATTTATTTGACAATTATACTAAATATACAAAACGAAATAATAGTCATGATAAACAATTGTTTTAGCTCATGTTTTAATCCAAAGAATAAAGTTTATATAATAGTTAAAGCAATGAATGAAGTATTAACATAGTTTCTCTAAGGAAAATCTTTTTGTTAAGAACGTCATGTTGATTCTAATATCTATCTTTATCCTTTACACGCAAGCACATATAGAAGTGAAGTTCTTTAGGGAACTGACGTTTACGTGTAGTTTGTCAACGGTATGGTTACAAAATTAATTCATAATACCAACGAATTATTAAACCAATAGTTATATGTTTAGACGAAAATTATACATGACATAGACATAGTCAAAACGTACTAACCAATGTTGTTAGTTTCAATATTTTCAGTATCCCGTGTAAGTTAGATAAAAAGCCATGTCATCGAATACAATTTTAAAATAGAATAAGAATTACTTATTTAATATTTCCCTTATAAATACTCCGGGTACTTCAAGAACAGGAACGAGAAAAGATACATTTTCCCATTATAATATTAGTAGCGATGACTTTCCTGCTTTTAAATTTTTCATTTATTGAAAACTATTTCTTTGAATAAATCTTTAAAATCTAATAGATTTATCTCATCTTATAAAAAAACCTATTTGTATAAAAAATGGCGTTGTCAATATATGTCAAATAATAAACATTACTTTGTACTACAATTAACTGAACAAAAAAAACATTATTTATGAATATGGTCATTGCCGTAGTATTGTAACAACGGTTTTCTACTGTACTGCCGTTTTTAATTTGTTATAGTTTCCGCTAGAGGCGCTACTATGAAATCTATGTTAACGTAATTAGTTTTCGAAAACTATAAAACTTGTACTAGAGGTACAGGTAGATTTATTATTATCCCAAAGAGCCTATTTTGGTCGAGTGTTCGTAAGACGGTTCTTTTTTGCTAATCTATTAATGATTCAAATTCGCTTCTGCAAAAAGTATCTGATTTGATATCTTATCTGATCCCAGTAATGCCCTTGTAAAACTTTTTTGTTTATCAGGTTTTCTAATTATAAGATGTGTAAAATACTTTCACAGCTACACGGGAACGGAGAGCCTTCTATTTTTCAATGGTAGTTCCACGTCGTCTCTCGGCGCCAGGGCGTCTGCTGCTTACGAAATGATGATCAACAGTTTAAATGCTAACGCAAAAGTCACAATTGTTAATGAAACCATTGACGATTACTACTTAAAAATCGTAAGTATACAATATATAATTAACCTATTAAATGTACGTTATTACGGCATATTAAGACATTATGTAGTTTGAGAAAGATTTTTAGAAATTATTAAGAATCTATAAACAAACTAAGAAAAAAAACTGTTTCATTCTAAAAACTACTTTATAAGAAGTGCACAAGACACTTTTCAATCTACATGAATGTCGAGTTTGTCCTTAAATCCGTGCTAAGATTTGGCTAGTGTGGTAAATCCGGTAATTGTTGTACGTAATCCCGTGCACTCTCTAAGCGCAGGCTTTTTTATAAAACTAAAAATTGTAACGCCTTTGGCGAGCACCGATGGCTTAGAAAATATGTATTTGCCCCAAAACAAATATATTTTCTAACCTTAAGTGAAGTTGGAACTTACAAAGTATTCGAAACGTCTGGAAAATATAAAACAACATTATACGTGATCAGACTGGACAACAAAAGGAAGTTATTAATTCGTGGGGTATGTATGTAATTTCGTTGCAATGGCGTAATATTTAAACATATATGTTTGTCTGTATAGGCTTGTAAACAAGTTTGCAAATTTTTATAGATGTTTGTATGTTTGTCCACGGATATCTTGCAAACTAGATGTCTGATTGCAATAATTCTTATTTGTTTAATTGCTTAGCTTTTAATTTAAGGTACACTACAAGTTTCATCATAATCGATTCAGTAGTTTGAGTATATACTGTATAGTAATAAAATTTATGCTACTTATATTAGGTGGAAAAAATTTACAGACATAAAATAGAATAAAAATTTATGAACATTTTGCTAACAAAAATGTATATTTGGTAAATATCAGTATGTTTAAATACAGACGAAAGTGTCCATTTATTATTTCAAGTTAGAAATAAGATTATGGATCGGTGATAACTTCTATTATCATGCTTTCCATAACATGAAGGCCATTAATCCATAAGCCTTTAGTCTCTAAGGTAAAAAATAAATTGTAGATGTTGTAAGGTTACAGTTACAGCTTTCAACATATGTACTTCGAATTAAATATTGGTCTGTTTCATGCGTGATATTACAATGAAATTGATTTATCGAACAATATAAAGGTAGATAATTATGATGATAATTTGTTTCTATATTTTTTTATATAAAGTTAATAAAGCGATAATCAATAGCGTCGTCATCGCATGATAATGCTATTTTATTTCCTGTACTTATTATTGATAAACGGGAATTTAATTTTTTTATCATTTTGATTTAGCTATTCAAATCTGAGCATTTCGAAAACTTTTACACGATTTTAATATAATATAATTTAATCATGAATTCATGGATGCAGGCGGTGGAACAATTCTGTAGGTGACAGTAAAGAAACTATGTTCATAAAAAATCCTCCAAAAAGTTCTCCATTCAAATGGGTATAGCATTAATAGGATACTTTTTTTTTATTTACGTCAAGGAAATGCATTAGACACTATCTCTGCCGCCTGGCAAGCGACAAGGGGTGTGTGGGACTCTCCTACGTAGAACTTTATATATCTGGTTTATACTAGGTTTGACGAAGGGATTTTAGGCAAACATTGAAATATGTTCCAATTTCTGCCTTTTATTAAAGTGTTTCTAGGGAAACCAAAACGTACCTACCTTACAAAGTAAAATAATCTGATTTAGACTTTGGCTGGTCGATCCTAAGAGACACTCCGTTTAATTTCTGAGACGGTTGTTTTTACAGTATAGGTACCTGTCTCAACGCCTTTACAGTAGGTATTCAAACTTGAAGGAATCGAATACCTTTTAGTCTCTAAGAGGAAACAATTCAAAAGATATCGATTTTGTTGCCGAGGCTTTATAAAATTCCACTCTAATAAAAGTGTTGTCCGTTTTAAACCGAATTCAAAATCCAAAAGGAGGACGTTTTAAGTTTTAAAGTGATGAATGTTCACCGATTTTTCCTTTTATATAAAAACAAAATACGCTTTTCACCATTTATCACCTAAATATTTAGATAATATGTATTGTGTGTGATGTATCTCAGTTAAAAAACAAAAAAATGCGTATCTTAAATTCATTAAAAATCCGAATAAAGGATTTTTTATGTTAATTTTTTTGAGAGTAGGTATATCAATCGATTTCTTCTTGAATTGTGAATCAATTTCTATCAAACTAGCTGTTTCCCCGCGACTTCGCCTGCGTGAATCATAGCCTATGTCCGCACCGTATTATGTAGCTTTCCGTAGATGAAAGACTTTTATAAATCAGTCCAATACTTGGGGCCTATTTAATGCAAACAAAAAAGCAATCAAATCTTTCGTTTTTAAAAGCTGAAATAGATTATTGTAAAAAAAAAATTCGGGTAAATAACAAAATCTTCTTTTCTAAGAGTTTCACTATGTTGAATAATTTATATATCTATACTAATATTGTAAATAGGAAATAATTTATTGTTTGTTTTATGTAACGAATAGGCTCCGAAACTATTGGACCTATTTTAAAAATTCTTTCACCTACAGTAAGCTACATCATATGCGGTGAACATAGGCTAAAATAAAGCCTCCCGAAAAACAGCAAATAATGGGACGAAAACGGGAGTTTTAGATTGTATAGGGGATTAAAATGGTAACCGTTGTTTATTAAATTTGTCATTGTAATTATATCCATGTCATGATATGAATCGATATCCAAATAAACAGTTCCCTAGGCACCACGCGGGCGAAGCCGCTGGCGGAAAGCTAGTCTGTAATAAGTAACAATTAGATGTAGGTATTCGGAGACATCTGCTTAACCTATAAAGAATGGAGGAATCACGAGATAAAAAAACTTTGGTCACTCATCCCATGACCGGACTATGCAATGTTGCATAAATTCCGTATTCGCAGAATAAATGCACTGTCGAATTCCCATTTAGTGTCGGATGCCGATATATTTAATTTGAAAGTAGGTTACTACAATACATCATTAATGTTAACAATGTTTTACAATTAGACTGAGGACCCTATTGCGATGGGGAATATCCGTCATCGGGTGCTCACAGGAGCAACATTTAATGACGATTCAGCGACAGCGTGGTTCAGCAACTTCGCGTACCACGATATCGCCACATCACTTGCAGACCTGCACTCTGCTCTCCTTAAAGCGAGGCTTCCTGATGCTCAAATTGAAGTGTTCAATCATCCCCTAGAAGTTAACTATAGCGATCAGGTAATTATATACGAGTATTTTCCTATTATAAAACTAGATAAATCAAAGAGTATTAGATAAAGCTATTGAAATTTTTAGACTGATATGCAGCTGATGGTACAAATGTTGTCCATGCAACTAGCTGTCGGAATTGGTTCCAGCTTGGGTATCGCCAGTGCCGTTTTCGTTATGTTCTATATTAAGGTCGGTATTTTAGTTTATTTAAATTTATACAGTTGAATTCTAATATATAAATTCATCACCAGCCTATTAATATCCAGACTGCTGGGTCTCAGGCCTTTCCTATAGATGGAATCGAATGAAATAGGGAGAATGGGCCATGCACCACCACGCGGGCCCATCGCATATTGGTGAGTGTTAACAACTGCAAATGCAGCTGGGACCAACGTCTTAGCGTGCTTCCCGAAGAACAGAAGAGCTTGAGTTGATGAAGTTTTGGTCACCTATGTCCGGCTATTGCGAAAGTTCCTTACGCCATCGAGCTCCATTAAATAAACTCAAATATGAATTAGGTAAATTATATCTATGTCATTTTTAGGAGCGTGTAACTCGAGCCAAATTGCTTCAGAAGGCAGCTGGTATCCAACCAGCCGTTATGTGGGGTAGCGCTGCCGTCTTTGATTGGCTCTGGTTTATGTTGATCAGTGTTACAGTTGTGATATCTTGTGCTGCATTTGAAGTTATGGGACTTTCTACTGTTGATGAATTAGGTAATCACAAAATGGTTTCACCAATGATTTGTAATGTAAATTAGAATAAGTAGAAATGCGAAGTAAAATTAGAAATAAAATTTAATTGTTAAGTTTAAAATATTCCGTAGGAGGATATAAATAAACTCACTAGCAGCAAAACTACTATTTCAAATATTTCAAAGTCATGTATTAAGCAAATGGTAGAGCAATTGCAAAATCTTTGTTTTCTGAGGTCCCCGAGTTTGATTTCCCGTCGTCCATGTCTCGTCGGGATGTAGACAATGAACCTTAGCTTCCCGGGTATGGGTGTTGTGTTACCTTCGTTATTTCAGATTTCCATAATACAATAGTGCTTTAGTTACTTTATGAATAATTTGAGCAATATATGTGATGTTGTCAAATATTTACAGATTATTTGTTTTATATCCGTTTCATTTTTCTTATAGGCCGTATGTATGTTTGCCTGATGATTTATGGAGCTGCGATGTTACCTCTCAACTATATATATACGAATTACGTCGACGGACCCGCGTTTGGTTTCACAGTCATGTATTTCATTAATGTTTTAATAGGTAAGACAATAATAATCACTAATTCTTATAGTTTTTCTCACAGTGAGCGATAGCGATGCGCGACTACGAATAATTCTGCCTTTCGACTAATTCGTACCTACTGACTTGGTTATTCAAAACGCAAATTAGTAGATATAAATGTCATTATTGGAATAACGATTACTTATTAGTACTACTAACGTTAAACGTACAATATGGAAAGTCAAAACCTGGTCAAAACGAATAGGTAGGTTATTCATTCGCCTTCAGTCAGTTTTCGTACATTCGTACGTACACGGCGCTCACTACACATTCGTCTATCTGTTCTATTATTATTATTTTTGCCGTCAAAAATATTTCATTGTTAGAATATAGCTTGTTAATATAAACTAGAATACCTATTTATCTATCTATCTATCTGGTAAACTCACAGATCAACGAAATACTCTATAATAGACCGCGTAGTGCGCGTCGTGATCGACTGAACTGAATGAATGATGGGACAGGTTCACTGAGATGTTTATTATTCGCTTCGACTCCAGTCGAATCATCTAAAGCGCAGTCGACTCAGCCAAATTATTCGTAGACTCGTTTAGTTAGTATATTATTATTATTTAAAGTCTCGCATCGCTTGTGAGCGATAATATTCACTTGTTTTAGCACGTATCAGGATAGCAGATCCTTTAAGTCTACATAAATTGGAAGTATATTTTGAAAATATTTAATGGAATAACCTAATTTTAATTATTTTAAATTTAGTTTTAATTATTTCGGTGGCATAAGACAGCATTAGGTACTTTATCTTATTTTATCATTGTAATAATTATTTATATATCGTGTTACATATCTGCTATTCATTAACATTTGCTAACAATTAAGCCGACAAGTGTAGAAGCTGAGAGACTGATATTATGATACAGGTAAATGTCGTCATAACAACTGTGTTATGACATAAATAGATAAATATTATCTATATTCATTATTATATATAATAATAATATGTAATAAATAACATAAATCAGAATAATTATTATTTTTAATGACTATTTAGGTAGTATTGAAAATAATCAACTTCCGGTTTACTTTTAATTTGTGAAACAATTCAATATTTTCTCCGTGGAAAATTATTCATAAAAAGTTGATCACGTTTAACGTATCCTTTATTTACATGAAAAAAAGTTAAGTTACACTGCTTAGGTTTGCCGGTTTAAAAATGAGGCTGGATTGTAATCTCTACTGAATAGTTCTTAGACATTTAAGCAACTATTCATAATTTTTAAATTGCTAAGTATTATCACTTTAGATTATACTACTCGTAATAGATATTATATAGGGGGAAGATTTGATTGTTTGTTTGCATTGAATGTGCTCCGAATTCCTTCATCAACGGAAAGCTAAATCATACGCAGGTGACATAGGCTAAAATTTAAGGCGCGGTAATACAGCTAGTTTTCAAATAAGATCTTTGATTCATTCGTTTAGAAGTTACGGTACACGTAAAATCACTCTCTAAAGAGATTAAAATTGTTTTTTTTTTTCAGGAATGATGGGACCTCAAATTGTTGACACACTAGCGCACCCGGAGTTACCTGAAAATACACAAAGGGCATCAGAGATTTTAGATAGCGTATTGCAATTCTTCCCACTGTACAGTTTAGTTTCAGCTATCAGGTGTGATTGTAATCGTATTTATTTGTTTATGTATTTTTGTTATGATCATTACTTTTAATTTGACTTTCAAACTGGCGTGTCTGTCAGATCTTAGATATCGTTCTATAACTCGTCTCGTGGAAATTTGTGTATGTTTTGCCCGCAACTTCATCAGTGTGGTATATGAGTAAGTTTAGATAGCATTTCCAAAAACGCTAAAAAATATATTTATTTATTATATCGTGTAAAATATTGGAATATAAATTCCATGATGTTATCTTCGATATTGAAGAACTTCGCCATTCATTTGCACGGCTAATTGTCGATTTGCTGAGTAAGCATCACAATTTCTTTCTACAGTGCGGCTGTAGAACTGGTTAACGGTCAAGAACCACGATACGAAACACAATAATTAATTTTATTAATAGCAAAATATCCGCAATATTGAAATAAAATTACTTTGATATTCAACTTTGAAAATACTCCAATAAAAAGCTATATTTATTTAAGGTACAACAACAGCTACACATGTAATTAACCGACTAATATGCAATATGTCTCAGATCTAAGATTTCAGTAATGTTTCTCTAAAAACCTTAAAGCTATTTATCTAATAATAATTATAATGGAAAGAAAACAAATTATTAAGTATAAACTTATATTAACAAAACTTTGTATAAACAAAACTTCATCGAAAACTGTAATCTTTGAAATATTATTTAAAAAAACGATAACGCAGTAGTTACGAATCAACGCTATCTAGGATAGCAAAGCTTAAAGTTTTTTCTTACTCGATTTTATTTTAAATTAAATTATTTATTAGCTAAAAACTGAGAAAGTTACACTCGCTAATTATTTACATTTCAAATTAAATACTTAGGTCTAAATCAAGGTCTAACAATTCATATAAATCAATTATATCACGAAATTAAATTACGTAATAACAAATAAATTATATTAAAGAAATATATTATAAAACTAGTATAGCACAAAATATATAGTTTAAATTTTCTTTCGTATAAAAAAGGATTTGTAATTGAATGTTCCAAAAATATTTATTTAAAACGGTATTTTTGTTATCAGTTATGTACTCAAATACCAATTTTTATAACAATATAAGGAAATATTAATAATTAATATTAGATATGTTTACTAAAATGATAAATCAAATTGTAAACAATGATTGCTATGGAAATATTTTGTTCCCCATAACAATTTTTCACGCCCATTTTCATACTTTTAGTATTCTTTTTCAGGATAAAATAGGTATAACTTATACAATATACCTTCCTAGGGTCTTGAACTATCCATTAAAGAGAATAGGATTGCAGTAATTGCACTATACAAAGTAGGTAAGGAGCTAGCCGACATTTTTGATACGTTGAAAAAGCTAGGGATCATTCGAATGTTTGTGTATCGTACCATGCAAAGGTACACTGAAACCATGTCTGTTGATGACCGTGAGTAATCCGGCCGACTGCGGTCTATTCGAACAAACCAGGCAGTTAATTAATGCAGTCAAGGCCAGAATTCCTCGAAATCCCATAAGGAAGCAGAAAATCCTTTCCAGAGAAATGAGAATCGCTCCGAGGACACTTTTTCGGGTTATCAAACAAGACTTAGATCTAGAGCTTACCGGAGATACACAGGACATACCTTAAATCAGGCACTAAAACAAAAGAGATTCGAAACGCGGACGACCGAAAGACCGATGAAAAATTTTTACAATCGAGGAGCAAGCACTACAAGAAACAAAATGATCGAGTGTATGCACACAGCTCTAAAGAAACTTCCGAGGTAGTAGCCCAAGTTCAGCGAGGCCATCATCCAGCATACGTCATGCTTTGGTGGGGTCTCCTACCAATTAATTACAAAACTCCATTTAGCCAAACTTCAGCCAAAGTGTATCAAAATACCGTGTTAGAAGTGGTAGTTGAACCTCTCAACAACACCTTATTCAAAAACGAGGTGTGGACATTCCAACAAGTTTCAGCCCCGGGTCATAAGGCGCTCACTACCCAAATTTGGCTTGAGCAAAATGTTCCAGATTTCATAAAGGTCCAAACTCATAAAGGCTGATGATTGGCCTTCGGCTAGTCCGGACTTAAACCCTTCTGACTATAAATTGTGTTCTGTGCAGGAGGACATGGCCTGCTCTAAGCGTCACGCAAATATTGAGTCGTTCAACAAATAGCCACGCTTCGGCATGAATAGGCCGGCTCGACCGGAGTGATACCACGGCCTCACAGAAAACCGACGTGAAGCAACGCTTGCGTTGTGTTTCGTCGTGTGAGTGAGGGTACCGGAGGCCCAACCACTCCCTATTCCCTTCCCTCTACCCCTTAACCCTTCCCTCCCTACGATCATATTCATCCCTCAAAGGCCGCGCTTGTAGCCCCTCTGGTGTTGCAGGTGTCCATGGGCAACGGTAATCACTTACCATCAGGTGATCCGTCTGCTCGTCTGCCCCTATTCCATAAAAAAAAAATTTGGAGGCAGCAGTGACCAAGTTTCCAATGGAAACCGTTCGTAAATCCACCGACGAATGGCCCGACCGTTTAAAAGCGTTAAAGCTAAGGGTGGACACTTTGAATAACTAGTTTAGTACGTTAACATATCTTTTTCACACCACAGATTCAGATATAAAACTTAAAAATAAGTAAAAATATATATTTTTTAATTATCGGATATTTTCTTTGTAACAGAACTTATGGCTAGACTACCTAGTCTATACCTATAGATATGACAAAGATATGTATGACTTATGAATCTTATCATCTTCTAGGTCATTAAACCAGTACGGAATGACAGTGGGATCTTGCATGTACGGTTGCGAGTTATGGAAGGGGCTATTGAATATCAGTGAGTGCACCTTGCAAGCGATGTGCGATTCATTCTCAGAGGCGTGTTGCGGTAAGTTACTATATTCTTTTACTGTCTCTTCCACTTTGATGTCTGATATCCAACCTCTTTATAAGACTAAATTTAGAAGCACGGTAAATGTCGACCAATCACAATTATTAAGTATCACGTCATCGGGCCATCGACTACATAATCTGTGAATTTTGGTGGATCGCTCGATGACGTAATACTGGCGCCAGACCCCCGTCGAGTTTAAGTATCATCGTTGGTATTAGTAGGTGTGCTCTTCGCAATCAAAAATTCTCCATACACCTCATTAGTTTTAATTTACTATACCTGTATTGAATTTATCTAAAAATAATTCCGCGTTAGCATGAGTAGTTGCAAAGTCGATGTACTGATGCCGCCTTCTCTATGTATTTGCTTCTTGGTTATGGCACAACCACCCTACTAATTCCATCTTTAGTAAATAAAAAGTTTTCTGTGTTCTCATTGATCACAGATTCATTTTTTTCTATTTTGTGTTTATTATTGTTTAACATTTTAATTTTGGTATTCAATAAATAAATGAAGGAAAATAATCATTTTTTATATTCTTAGTTATATATGTAATAATTTGATGTTATAAGGGATCTAAATAACCCGCTTGACGTCATATGAAAATGGAAAGTACGTATATAGATAAATTATTTATTAATTTTTAAAATATCTATGAATAATCTCCAAAATATTGTTATAATAATTTAATAACTATTCGTTTGATAATTTATTGCATAAATTCGAAAAGACTCGATTAATATCTAAATATTGAGGTACATGAAAATTAAAAAAATTATATGTTAAAATAACATTTACTTTTTAATAAGGATATATTTTAAAACATAACCAAAGTAATAAAGTGAGAGACAATACATATTTTTATGATTAGTGCAATTATGTTTACCTACTTAGTGTGAAAATCATAATAGCAGTTGCTATTTTAGTCAACAAGTAACCATAAAACTTAACAATAACAATCGAAACCAACAAAAACATAACAAAAAATTATATACGATATCAACAATGTTATAAATCTGAGTAATAAGATTATATTCTTACTCTGAGATGGGATTCGATTCGGATTTTAGTACAGGGACAAAGTGGATTTTTTAAGCCTTTTACATTAAGAATATTTTCCAGTATAGCATTGTGAATGCAAAATTGATTAAATATGGTAATAAGATTATAATTCAAAATTTTGTCAGTTTTTAACAATTTCAAAAGTCGGCAATTAACATTAGTATTTACAGGATCTTCTGTATATATAATAAAAATTGATTCCAATTCTCTGGATAATTATATCCGATTAAATGAAATGAAATAACGAATTTTCAGTTCGTGAGAACCCTCACTTCGAGTGGGAGGAACCAGGCGTTCTTCGCTACTTAGTGGCGATGCTGATTTCTTGTGCTGTTTGCTGGATCGTACTCTATATAATTGAATACCGTCTGCTTCAAAAGGTAATTTTAGTGTATTTTGAATAATAATAAATGTTTGTTTGTATACTACGCAGGGGTACGCTACGTCGTATAATTAATGTTTGTATGTACACTACGCAGGGGTACTCTACGTCATCGTAGGGTATCGTAGCATATTATCAATAAAAGATGACGTAGCAACTACGAAATTTCTACGCCTACGGCGTAGCGTATTTTTGCGCTGTGGAGTAGATTGTGGTGTTACCGTGGACCCATAGAGTAATAAATAAGTATAGCTACCTATCCAACGTAAAACTACTGAATCATATGTGCGAACTGGCAGCAGTCTAAAAAAATAGCAGGTTATGAATTCAACTGAATGTTTTTTATTCGGTTGAAACTAACTTAATATAAAGTCACTGAACTCAAAAGAAGTCACTGAATTATTCAGAAAACCTTTTAACTTTATGTTTTGCAAAAACAGTTTACTATCATGAAAATATTGTTGACATTACATATTAAAGCCTATGTGAATAATTAGACTATACATAATCGCTGAATATTATGCATAATCAATAAAAACCCTTGAATAATGTAATGAGTAAATGAATCACTTTATCTAGAAACTTTTTATTACAGCCCTATTTTATATTTCTGTCTTTATTCTGTTAGGTGTTCAGTTGGAAAAAGGCTCCCCCTCCATTGGACGAGAGCGCCATGGACGCAGACGTGTTAGATGAGAGCAGACACGCGGAGAGTGTCAACGTCAAGAGTCTGTCTGAACACAGTCTAGTGACGCGTTCCCTCTCAAAGTACTACGGGAAACATCTCGCCGTTAACAGACTCTCTTTCAGTATGTGGCTTTGTTATTGCCTTTGTTAATAATATCTTAGATTCACTTATTTAATTAATTACTCGCTAATCATTATGATTATTATATAAGTTCTTAATCCTAACCCATAGCTTCAAAGCGGCTCACTTGTTTATCAATTTTCCTTTAGTGAAAGGGTATACTATATATACATACATATAGGTGTTCAAGAAAAAAGTGAACTAAAAATTTCTGGATTTTAGAGATAACATTATTTTATATTTTCGCATTTAGGCCCAATCATTTTACTTATTCAGTATCAATTAATTTATAGTTTAGGTGCGTTCTTAATATCAAGCTCGCTCAATGGGAGAAAAAAAAATGACCAAGTGCGAGTCGGACTCGGACACCGAGGGTTTCGTACAAACCTTTATTAAAAATATTTTTATTATATGATATGACTAAAAATTTACGGTTTTCGCAATGTTTCCTTTATCAGACCGCTAAGTGTATTTTTTTTTACATTTACGTTTACCGTTGTAAATATTGCGGCATAAACTGCTGTATTTTTTATTGCATTGGCTTAGAATTTTCATTTTTTCACAACTCCAAGGGATAGTAAATCTGAGTATTTAATAAAAATTTCAGTTTGATACCTCATCGCGTTCCTTGAGAAAAAGGGTCTTGACAGACGGACGGTCAACAAAGTAGTACTATAAGGGTTCCGTTTTTCTTTTCGAGGTACGGACCCCTAAAAATCAATAAATAAGGTTACATTATACTTTAGGTCAATAGAAATTTATCACATTCTAGCCATGCCAATGATACTTACGATCCGTCACTCGTCTCATATAAGAATACAATACGAACGCCGAGATCAGATACAATAAGGTAGTGTCGCCAAAGATGGCCCAGCCCCCAAGATAGCCCACTTAAAAAAAAATACAGATATGATTATTCGAATTATTTGAAATTTCGCGGGTTTATGCTACTAGTGCCACAGACAATATTGCAAGCGTGTTTCACTTGCGACGCGTCGCCATTTTGAAAATAGACGACAGTTCATTCGGTCATGTCAAGACGATACACGTTTTATAACCTCCTTTATGTGAATCTTTTTGAAAATTAGTAAATTTAAAGCAACTCTGTTTAATATAAACGGTGACAATTCATATTTGAACTATTTATCGTCGAACTACAGGTAAGTGTTATTATTTTATTACCGTTTTTGTATTTTTACTGGATTATATTTATCCTGGGTGTTATTTCCTATCATGGCCCATAGTATCATACCCTAACATAGCCCAGCCTTCTTAGGACTATTGAAATATAGTGTTACTATATTTATGTACTTGCTTTTACGAAGCTTATCTGTGAATGATTTGGAAACTATGATGGAATGCAATAAATCTTGAATAAATTATAGTCCAACTAAAAAATAGTGCAAGTTTTAAAAAATCATGAATTGAAAGCATGAACTATTAATTATATATAGATTTGAAGTTCTAATTTTTGTAAATACTTTTAGATACTAAATTAATTTAACTCTAATATACTATTTTTATCGCAGATAAGAATGGAGCCTTCCAATTCTACTAAAAAAAAGCGCGGGGAATGGACAGAAACACAGTTGAAATCCGCACTCCAAGTAGTAAAAAGCAACCAAATGTCACAGCGGAAAGCTGCTGAAACATATGGCATACCCAGGCGCACATTAAGAAACCACATGAAATCTGGTTCCACGGAGAAGATAACTGGTCGTGTCCCTATTCTTAACAAAGCCGAAGAAAAGGATTTATGCAAAAGAATAATTAGACTGTCTCAAATAGGAATGCCATTAACTCCCAAAATCGTTCGGAAGCAGGCTTACGAATTTTGTAAAGCGAATAATATACCAAATTCTTTTAGTGAAGTAAAGAATATTGCTGGAAAAAAATGGCTCAGAAATTTTATAAACCGTAATCCTGAAATATCGGTTCGCAGAGCTCAGTTGTTAAACCCCGCCAGGGCTCAAAAACTTAATAAGCCTATAGTTAAAAGACATTTTGAAGCCCTAAAAGACATTTACGATGAATTGAATATTTCCAACCACCCGGAACGCCTTTATAACATGGACGAAAAGGGATGCCGTCTAACACTTCACCACCAACAGAAGGTTTTTGCAGCAAAAGGGGCCAAAAGAGTGCACTTTGTCAGTCAAGAACATGCAGAAAATGTCACAATCGCTATGTGTGTAAATGCAACGGGCAACACTGTGCCACCTATGATTCTCTTCAAAGGCAAAAGGTTGAAACCAGAATTTTGTGACAATTTACCACCTGGAAGTTTAGTCAAAATGGCTCCAAAGGGCAGTATGATTACAGAACTTTTTGTTGATTTTATAAACCACTTAGGGCAAAATAAATCTCCAGGAAAATGTTTACTTATTTTTGATGGGGCCTCCTCACATTTAGACGCTAGAATCGTTGATGCTGCTGATGCCCATGATATTTTACTTTATTGTTTACCGTCAAATACAACTCATGAGCTTCAACCGCTAGATAAATCGGTGAATAAGTCGTTCGAACATTTTTGGGACGAGGAGGTTCTGTTGTATGCATATCAGCATCCAGAACGTAAATTGACAAAAGCTCGTTTTACGAAAATATTTACTAAGGTTTGGTCTAAGTGCATGACCAAGGACAATATTATCAATGGGTTTAAAGCTACCGGCATCTTCCCGTACGATCCCAGCGCGATTCCGGAGGAAGCGTATGCACCTTCAGTACTTACACAAATGCCCGATGCACAGGTTGCAAGCTTCTCAAAAATGCCTGACTCAGCTTCTAATTCAACACCTTCAAGAGATTCTATTTCCGGAAGTCCTATAATAGAACCAAGATTCAATAATCAATTAGATGATCAGTTTTCAAATTATGAAGAAGAGGACAGGAATTTATCACCATCAATTTTAATTCATGATGATGTATCTTCATTTCAAGCTAGTTACGTCAAAAACGTTGCATTTTATCCGCAATCTCCAACTATTGTCAAAAAATTAGTTGATTATAGCTCTTCCGTTGAAGATTTTAACATGGACAACTTGGAAAATCAAGATCCTATTCAAAGAGAATCTGTTTTGGAGAATTATAATAGATGTACAGAGTTTTGTTCACCTGTCCCTACCACCTCTGGCTTAAATAAGCAGCTTTTTATACCGCGTCTGGAATCAAGTACGTCAGATTTATCTGGAAATGAGGATTTTTATGATTATCCCCAAAAAAATAAAAAATTCACGAAGTTTTGTAATATTTACACTTCATCTTCGGAATCAGACGAAGAAAATAGAAATGAGAATTTCAGAAAACTTCCATTACTCTCTAAGCCCAGTGAAGGTCAACTTGATGATGGGGAAGATAATTTACCTTTATCAGAACTGAAAAAATGTGCTGAGAAATCACCATTCCACAAACAAATACCCACTCCTAATTTCGCTATCATTAAAAACAAACCGAGAAGGAAAGCGGTGAATTATATAGGCCGGAAAGTAACAAAAGATTTGTTTGATACTGCTAAAGAAAAAACGGTGAAGAACACTAAAACAACAAGAGAAAAAATTAAACCAAGCAGACGACCAAGTGAAGCTGATACAACTAAAAATTCGCATTTTACAAGATACCAGGCACAAAAAGGAAAGCAACCAAGTGATAAAAAAAAAGAAAAAATAATAACTAACCAAAAAAAAGGTAATGATCCTAAAAAAGTACTCAGAGAAAGAAAACTGAATGAAGATATTAATAAGAAAGTGGTAAAAGCAAGTAAGAAGAAGGAATCTAAAACTCTTAAAAAACATGGTTGGTATTGTCATGCATGCAACGAGGATAAACTTGATAATATGAGTCAATGTCAAACATGCCAAAAATGGTATCATGATGATTGTGTGGGTTTAACCAAAGATGATGAGCAATTCATATGTCCAGAGTGCAATTAAAGTTGTGATTATGCTGTTAATTCACTTTTGATTGGGATACTTTACCGATAATTTTTTGTTAGGAGGATACTCCATTTAAGATAGTAGAGTAACTAGTATAGATTTTATGTGATTGATCTCAAAGTTAATTTTCAGTATTCCTAAGATAGCCCACCTGTAAATTAAACTATTACTTTTTTTTAGAAAAAAGAACTGATTTATTTTTATTTTTGATTAGTTACTTTCAGAGTTTATTTCTACATCAAATTTGACTTTATTTAGTAATTTGTTTTTATTTTATAGTTGGTTTTTAGTTTGATAGACTTAAGATAGCCCACATTTAAATTTCTCGTTAATTTATGCCTTTTTATGAATAATGTTATGAGTAGGATGTGTTTTTTGTTTTGTATTTTTATTTTAAAATGTTGAAGTGCTTGTAATATTTAAATTTCCATTAATATTTTTCGGGCCACCTTAAGCGACCAGCTTCCTAAGATAGCCCATTAACAAGTTTTTAAAAAATGTTTAAAATTGTATTTAAATTACTAAAAGTGTACTACGTTTTTTGATTTACCGTTTCTCAAATAAATATATTACAACTTTAATTACGTATTTTCATTATTTTACTTATCTGCAAGGTTTTAAAATTTTTTGAAATTAAGTGGGCTTTCCTTGGCGCCTGTACCTTACGACACCCAAAATACCTATTTATTTTTGTATTGTTATGGGATCTGAGTGGTTCACATCTGATATGCAAATATATATATTTTAGCCGTAAGCGACACGGAGTGTTTTGGTCTCTTGGGTGTAAACGGTGCGGGGAAGACGACTACGTTCAAAATGCTCATGGGTGATGAGACAGTGTCCAGTGGCGACGCCTTTGTCAGTGGATACTCCGTCCGCAATCAACTCACTAAAGTCTACGAAAATATAGGTACACAGATCTTTTGTATCTTTTTTCTTCTTCCTACTTATTTCGCTATTCCAGCAAAGGAAGACATAAAAACGGTCCTAGTGCCCTCATTCTGTGATGGCCTTTAGCAGATCGACCGCCTAATTCTCTAGCCATAGGATACCACATATTATCGATATTATGATGATATTTTATTTCATGTTACCACATTTACATGTCATTTGGTGGATAAATTTGGTATAAATTATTGAATTGATAACACTGGTATCAAATCCATTATCATTTTTCTTTATCGTTCGTTCGTTTTTACTAAAGTACATATCAAAGTAGTAAAATATAAATATATCATAGAGAAGATGTCGAATTATGACTAGAGAGTTATGCCCGCTGGAGGTTACTCTGTGAGTCGAGGCATCTTGACCGGTACCTTTCAGTCTTTTTATAATATTATTCAATTCCTTAGCTATATTATCTACCTGAGTATTTACTGATACATCTTCTAATATCTAATCCTACATAAAGTTTTTCAAAAAGACGTAAAAGGAAAATATAAATAAAGATTGCATCATCCTATATTTTTCTACGTCAATTATAAGAGTGACTTTTTTTCTTTCCTAAAAAATATGATTTGCAGGTTACTGTCCACAATTCGATGCTGTGTTCGATGAACTGACTGGGCGTGAAACACTTAGGTTATTTGGTTTGCTGCGCGGCCTCCGCTCGCAATATTCTGAGGCTCGCACTGAAACCCTAGCAAATTCACTTGGCTTCACTAAACATTTGGACAAGAGGGTCAGTATGTTTGTACTATTCGTTAAAGTGATTATTTCACAATAACTAACATTTTTTAAGAATGTATTTCTTCTTATTAGAAGTCTCTCTTTTATACTTTCGTTACACGGCTCGGTTGCGACAGATTATAATCTTTGTCAAGTAAGTGACCTTATTAGTGAGTAAATATGTACTAAAAAATCATTAAGAACTTATTCTCTAAAAACGGGAATGTTTTGTATAGTGATAGTTGACAGACTGGACTGTTTTAATATGGACGAATTAACAACGTGAAGAAGCTTTTGTCTACGCAGGCTAGTTAGGAGGTGACACTGGGGTAACAGTTAAGGTTGATGTAGAACGTGAAATGTTTCCTAGAACGAGAAAAATAGCGTGATGTCTATTACCGCGATGATTTCGCTACGTGCTGAGCCATAAGTAAAAAAAAAACATCACGTCGTTCAGAGTCTAATTTGTAAAGTTACACGACCTCTTGACTGTAAAATTAATAAAACTTGTAAATAAGTTATTACATTTGTTAGAAGATAACTTAGGACTTTGGTTGCTTTACATTAGGCAACATTTTTAGAATCCTTAAGGTGGGAGGGCAACTGCCTTTCCCCCCCATCTCTTGGCGCCGCCCTTGGTAGGAGGTATAAAATATTATGTATGCAATGCAGGTGCATCAGTACTCGGGCGGCAACAAACGTAAGCTGAGTACGGCGGTGGCGCTGCTGGGACGGACGCGTCTAGTATTCGTGGACGAGCCCACTACAGGCGTCGACCCGGTTGCCAAAAGACAGGTATTTTTATATGTTACCTAGTGTAGCCGGCAGCCTTATCTTAAAACATTCTCTTTAAAAAACCGTTTTATAGTTATTTTTTTATTTGTTAAATCACAGTGTTAAAAGAACCAAAGGTTCAAAATGAATTAAGGTTAGGTGATTTATTTTATATAAAATAACATTTTCATTAATTACTAGTTAAATTAACTACATAAATTATAGCCTATGTCAACCCCGTATGATGAATTTTTAAATCGGTTCAGTGGTTTCGGAGGCTACCCCATGCAAACAAACAGTTTAATCTTTTTTCTTTAAAATATTAGTAAAGATTTAAAATTAACTAACCAAACAATTATAACAAAACTTAATTTGCCCCGCGATACTCCCGCCAGCATTACCGAGATCCTTCGTAGTTTCCCGCGATCCCCTTGCATATAAACCAAATAAACGGCCTAAATCTTCTTTGTAGTTTATCTAAATATGAGTGTTCGAAATTAGATAGGCCTAATTTGCATCATTTATTTCTTTCTACTGTCATAAAACATTTTAAAAATCTATCATGGATTGAACTACTGAACGTCTAAGGAACCTTCATCTAAGAACTGATCGTGTTCTTTTTGTAATCATTTATTGTCCCTTTTCAAGTAACTTTAAAGTCTAACATAGTCATTTTTATGTTTTATTTTATTAGCCTTACTGAGTTTCTTTCTGGTTCTTCTCAGTATAAGTTCGCCCGCCGTAGTTTTGCTAGTTTCAAGCGTAAACTAGATAATAAGGGCAATAAAAAAGAAATTCTGTTTAGATAATAGAAAAATATTAAAAACGTTTTTTTTTTACTCCAATTTAACAAGACATCGCTTAGGTAACAAGCATTAAAATTGAAGAGCAGGGGCTCGCTACGTCACAGTTTTGTAGGAAATGTATAAAAGTATGACTTCATCTAACATTTTAACTTAATTTATACATTACGTAAAAAAATGAAAGAATACGTGGTATTATTCAACGATATACCTGATGGACAAATAAAATTAAAAATATATATATATATATATATCATCCTATTGATATTTAACACGAATTTATGTTCAAAGGTGTGGCGGGCGATACGCAGCGCTCAGCGCGGCGGTCGCGGCGTAGTGCTGACGTCACACAGTATGGAAGAGTGCGAGGCGCTGTGCACGCGGCTCACCATCATGGTCAACGGACAGTTCCAATGTCTCGGCACGCCGCAACATCTCAAGAACAAGTTCTCGGAAGGTAAGCGCTGTGTAGTGTGTAGAGTCTTGTGCCTGCTCGGTCTTCTAAAAGAGCATTCCGTGCTAGTACATTTCGGAGTTGGAGTAGAAAGCCAACATCATAAACAAATCCACTCTAATTCTTTATGTTCAAATGTATCTGTATAATATTGGCCTAGGTTGTACTGAAGCGGCTACGGCTAGTGATTTAAAAATAAAACACTGGCTGATCTACAAATTTCTGTATGAGCAACGACGCTTAATATGAACTTATTTCATATATGTTTTCAATTTCCCAATTATTAATTAATTTAATAAATATTATAAAAATACTTACTTCAAATTAACATTTTTATCTGAACCATTTTTTTAAAAAAAAATATTATATATGCATTTTATAAAAAACAAATGTTATTAGTGTGGTGCAAAATTTTACATAACGCCATATATTACATTTCTACCAATAAATTTTGTGCTATTTATGTCACTACATTGTATTTAGCTTTTTTTAAAGTGAATATGTTACGCTCACAAATAGTTCACTGTAAAATATCCACATAGCGAAATTTGTATTATGGCTCTTATTGAAATGCTCACAACGTGTTGTGGCAATCACAGAATAACCACATAGCAAAATCCGTGTTGTGGCTACCATGCTATTCGACCACAATGCGTTGTGGCAATGAAGAAAAGCCATGAGGCGTATTGAACCTTATACGATTAGGTTAGGTTAGAGTATGACAAAGCACGTGCCGAGCGAGCAAAGCGAGCGTGCCGCGGCGGCGAAATGTCAGAAGCGAATTGCTAAAATGCAATAGCATGTTAAACCAATCAATGTTGAGAATGAGTCGTGGTTTTTCTTCATTGCCACAATGCGTTGCGGTCGAATAGCATGCAAGCAACGACGCTGATTTCGCTATGTGGTTATTTTGCAATTGCCAGAATGTGTCGTAACGTGAGCGTTTCAATTAGAGTCATAACACGAATTTCGCTTTGTGGTTATTCTGCGATTACCACAACGCGTTATGAACAATTTTTTCGCTTATGAGTGATTTCGATCTTTGAGTGTAACATGTATCTATACATATATGCATTGCAGTACTATTACATGTTGTTTTTTAAAATTTATAGGTTACACATTGATTGTCAAAATTCGATCAAACGTCGAGGAAAATCAGTTTTTCTCTACGACCGAAGATATTTCAGCACTCGTTGACAAAGTGAAGCAATACATTGAAAGCAATTTTGCTAACCCTACACTCATGTAAGAGTAATTTTATTTTTATTATTACCTTTTATTGTTGACCAATTTAATGCTTGAAATAACGTTAATTACACACACGCACAAAAATAAATTACAGAGTGTATTCAATGTGGTGGCCAAAAGGGGCTAACTGGTGCCACATGCAAGATTAAAATAATTTGTGCTTTTGATTACCGCGAACAAGAACTTATGTTTAGAAAAACAAGTCAGTTATTAAGGACTGGCATTTTTAAATTTTAATTGATAAAAACAAACATAATTTCTTTGCCATCAACAACATCATTATTAATGATTATAATAGAATAAAATAAATATTCATATTATACATAAAAAAATGTCACATATTTATACTCTTACAAATTGTGTTCGCATTGTCTTTGTGTTATAAGATCCGTAAATTGCTAATGCGCTGGAACCTTGTCAAAATAATATCGTAATAGAAATCTTGTCAAAATAATAAAAATAGAAAGTATAGATAGCTCAAAAAGCAAGAGATAAATTATTTAATAATTAATATTTATGAATAATCCCCAAAATATTGTTATAATAATTTGATAACTTTTAGTTTGTTAATTTATTACATATTTTTTTGGAATAGAATCAATTTATAGGTATGTAAATATTGAGGTATATAGAAAATATAATAAAATATTAAAAAAATAACAAACGGAAAGGAAAATTTTAAAAACATAACCAAAATTAATAATGAAATCAGATACATTAAATATATTTATTATTAGTGAAATTATGTTTCCATGCAAGCCAAATGTGATTAATGTGAAAATCAGAATAGCAGTAGCAATTTGAGTTCACCATAACAAGTAACAACAAAACTTAACAATAATAATCGAAACCAACAAAAACATAACAAAAAATATGTGTGATCTCAACACAACCTAACTCAATAAGTGTACTCGTTGACCACTACCGTTAAGCTACTGATATTGGAACGCAATTACGTCATTAAAATGGCGGCCAGCGGCATTAGCAATTTTCGGGGATTATACCACTATCTATATTGTTACCTGTTTGTTGGATAATATTTAAGCTCTATACGCAAATTTTGTGTTTACTTATTTTTATACATCAATTTTGAACTTAACTGACAACACATTAAGGATTTAAAGCGTTGGAACCTATTGCTGTTGATGAACTTTGTATAGTTTGTTGTACCGACGTATTCTTTTTGCTATACGTATAACATTGTTTTAATACCTATGTTTAGTAGGCATGGGATATTATTTAATTCTTTTTCTTTTCAGGGAAGAATACCAAGGCCTACTAACATACTATTTGGCAGATAGAAACTTAGCCTGGTCCAAAATGTTCGGCATTATGGAGCGAGCCAAGCGGGAGATTAATGTGGAGGACTACAGTATCTCACAGACCACCCTTGAACAGATCTTTTTGCAGTTTACTAAATATCAACAGGAATCAATACTGAAAAATCAACAATAAAAATAACTAGAGTTAAGACCATATATATAAATATATTGGTTACAAATTGATACCTCTCCTCATTGTATGACTCTGAACAATATTTAATTCTAGGCGCGAAAGGTTGTTAGTATAATCGCATATTAACTAATATACATAACTATATTGGGACTTCAAATTAGTTTGCATTATATAATAGTTTCATTGTTATTTCGCTAGTCTCTCTGCCGTTCTGGAAACAGCTATGAATAAGAATTTGATAGACATACTAGTTAATAAAAAATACTAGGTGTTAGTCCTGTTTATCATTGATGCGTCACATAGACACGACGACGGCTTGTGGATATGCCACTAGAATTATATAAAGAATTAAGAAACATGCCATTTATATAATTATTTTTTATAACTACATTACAAGCACGATTTTTAGACTCCTTTCAGTGCCTTTATCACAGAGTACTTTATATGATACGGAACTTTTTATTTCAAACGTGCTTTTATGGTCGTCGGCGTCGTTAATTGTACTTAATTTATTTATAAGTAGCTAAATATACTATGTATTAAGGACAAAACGACAATATACATAAATTAGTTGCTAAGTATTATTTATTGTCAATTTACACAACTTAACTTGATCACTGTCGCTACTAGGGTGCGACTAGGGTTGCCAGATGGTCGGGTAGGATACAACATTTTAGCGATGTTGTGTTGATATTTCGTTTCATCTTACTACTTTAACATGCATTTTATTAAATGTTTATAAATTGATTGAACAGCGTAATCAAATTAGTAATTCATCCCAAAAATTTATCGAAAAACATGACAAAAAAAGACGAAACGAAATATCGTCTTAACTTCGTATCCTATTGCTAGAATCATGGCTAGAGTTAGCCGAATGAAAAAATGTGTTTAACGTAAAATTCAAATATAATTTATATATTTCTGAATTTTTGATCATTCCATTATAACTTTATATATTTTATTGTGTGACTACCAAATCGGTTTGAACAATATTTTTTTAATTAATTCATTGTGGTCCCAGTCGCCGGATACGTCCGTTACTTTATCTCAGTAACACTCAGATTAAAAAAAAAACGGAGCAAATATTTACAATATAAAATAGTCAAAATAACTATCAAAATACCTGTATAAACCAAAGTTTTATATTTTTTATCGTTTTATATTTTTTTATCATAAATATAAATATTATCGCCAATGTTAAGAATTTTCTTTTTCATCCTTTTTAAGAACTATCTTGTAATATATTGTAATAATCCTAATACGTATACATATATATAAGGATTATTTACTATCCTGTAAGAAACTGTTAATTACAAACAAGAAAATATTCATCTTTACAATTTTCTGTTCTGAATTTGGATAAGAAATGAAACGACTCATATTATTCGATAAAATAATTTTATTAACTTTTTTAAAAGATTCCTATAAACGCTACACGATACAAACACCATAAGTACTTATATAATATACATTTTTGTAATACAATAATAAATAAAAATATAGAAACATACTATTATTAACTTACAGTCACGACAATACAATAAATTACATTTAAGTATGTGATTGAAGAAGCTGCTATTAACGAATACATAATAAAAGTATCTAGAAAATATGTAATTGCCAATCGTCTATTACTCTGAACAGATTTTTAAGCATTGAAGAAGGCGGAAGAATGGAAAATTATAATTTTCAAGGCTTGAAAACGTAACATCTGCTTTAAAAAATTTTTTCCTATGCTTGTGCCGACTTAGTAAACATCTAATTACCCAAATGAGAACTGATTTATGGTTAGATTCTTTACTCTATATTTGATATCAAACGCAATTACAATATGAATAAAAATTGTACAAACGATCGTTCTAATCTTGACAGAATATTGGTATATCGACATATTAGTAAATCGAAAATTTCAACAATTTAATGAGGTTTAAATTCAAGGTTACAAAAGGTTAGAAATATATGAAACGTAAAAGCTGAGTACAATCTCCGCATGAGCAACACTGAAAAATAATAATAATAAAATAGTTTGAAACAAAATATGTTGGATGTATATACTTTAATCATTTTCCTTGATCATCAACTAAGTGCCAATGATAATCGAATCACTTTAAAAATAATAAATATTTGAATCAATTCATATTTTTAACGAAATTACAAATTCGGACCAAATGAAAAGAGCACGGAATTTTTCATAACTTATTCTGTGATGAATTCGGAGAATACTCTTTCTATAAATGATAGTTGTAGCGAATGGCAACACCATTTATTCCGACTTACGGAGATTCCCCGTATTTTATTTTGTACTTGGATTGTTTATGACTTATAATCAGCAAAAATGACTTCTATTACTTATGTATTAAGTTCAATATTGTTTATTACGTCCCTTTAAGAAAATACGTGAAGCTTTGACAGTTCAAAGAAAGTTTTATTCATGTATCTTCAGTTGTTGTTCATATTATTTTATTTCAAATCTTTTCTGTTTTTTTTTTAAATTAATGTTTATAATGTATAGTATAATTATATAAATTATCTATGAAATACCAAATTAAGAGAGGCAGCATAATTGTCTGCCGCCCCAGGCGGATGATACCCACGCTACGCCACTGTGTCCATTTAGAGTAAGGGATCAAAAATGGTGCTTCGTTCTAAAAGAATGTTGGGCATCAGTGGTTAGGCCGAATCGTTAAATCTATTTACATCAGGGAACTAAATAGAAATGCAACGTTAAAGTAATTGTTAGCATGCAATTTCAATGTCTCTTTATTGCTATTTAAAAAGTATCAAAAAACGTTATGAACAAAGTTTTTTTGTAAGTAAAAAAAATTACCAATTCAGCACAAGCGTAAAACGTCATAAGTACAAGTTAAACATACAAACTAAATTTTGGTTTGAGATAAATAATTTTACTTAATTATAATACTGGATAGCGAGAATGCTTTCAATAGTTATTATCCAAAACGTAAAAATATGTATGTTAAATAAATTAGTTGAAAATAGGAACAAGGGATAAATGTAAAATATAAAGCTATTTTATAAATCACAAATAATATCACACACACGCACAATAACGTTAATATATAAATAAGTACATTAAGATTCATTTAGGTAAACTATTAATATTTTAATGACAACGGCAAAATATAAAATCGATCGAAATTAATTAGGTACATAATTGAGGTCAATTTATTGCATGCATAAAACTAAAAGTAACTTGTACTTTACTATGTGCTTGTTACTCTATTTACCGGTATATAATATTAGGTGTAATATAAAGCTACCTTATTAGTGAAAATATAACACGTATCAAAGACTTTTTTTTTTTCAAAATTATTAGATATGAGAAATTATATCAACTCTACATCGAATTACCTGTCACTCTAAGTATTTCAAGTGAATTTTGTTTCAATTGTAATATACTAGCTTTCCGCCAGCAGCTTGCTCGCGTGATCATAAACATAAAAAACCTTCCTTTTGAAACATCTTATCTATTCAAAAAAACCTCATCAAAATACGTTGCGTAATTTTGAAGATCTAAGCAAACATAGGAACAGATAGACGGAAAGCGACTTTGTTTTATACTATGTATTCATTGAGTATGAACAATATAATAAACGAATTTGAATTAACAAAACAAATAGGCGTAGAAGTAAGACATAATTTCATATTTAATACGGATTTATGGATAAAAAAATGTTAATAACTTAATTAAACAATAAATTTTAATTGATCAACCAACTACTAAATAATTGCATTCAACTTGTATTTTGTGTGACTTAAACACATAAGTGCGTTATGAAAATCTACATTAGAATTAGTTTTTCAAAGTAGCAGTTTACATTGCTGAATATTAAATATATTTAATATTAAATTAATACAGTTATTTCATAAATATTTCAAAACACCTGACTGATGGTCAGTAACAGTGAACCATATAAGTACAATTTGTATCAAAACTGAAATATATCAGTATCTCAATGTCGATCACAATTTTTGTAATACTTATAGTAATTTGTTTAGCTGCACCATTAATAATACGTCCACGATTTTAAATGCTGCCTGCGATTCTAAACCTGCTTTCGAGATCTTACTTTAATTATTTAAAAACCTGATTATAAATAAATTAAGTCTGTTAATATATTAATGTAAACAATTCAGATATTTTAATGAGAATTTGAGATATTATGGTCATTAACACTTAGGGCATACCAAATAACATTTTAATGATACAAGATTAAGGGTCGAAATGGAGTTCAATGGAGATCGCCGATATTGAAATTTCAAAATTGCCAACCATTGATAGAAAATATTGCGGTTTTAATTAAAATTTTGCGATTTGCTCACTTTTTACTGTGATTACGAGGTTATTGAAAAAGGTCGAATTAAATATCTGTATTAAATTTTGAACTTTACTATTAACACATTTAAGAGTTAAAATTGATTTTATCTATTCTTTGTTGATTTTAACATAATATAAAAAAGTATAATGAAAAATAGGAATAAAAAATAGCTGCCAGGTACCGATTTGTTTTAAAATATAGCCTGTAACTTTTTAACAGTTTTTGTTGGCTAGAACTCTATGAGACACATTTCGCAACGGCGCTCATTACACATTAACGATAATGTGAACTACAATTATCTACAAATGATAGGCACATCTTACTCGCTGGTCTGCATCCTGGTAAACCGGAGGAAGACCTGCTCAAGTGTGGTTTGGGACACGGAGTAATCTTCTATGGGATACTGTCGCCGAGCCTCTTCCATTACATGGAATACTCGCCACCACGGCACGCCATAGTCATACAAGTAGTACGTACTGATGCCGAGGTACGTCTCGCTAAGGAAAGGACATCAAAGAATAGGTGTGTAGACAACTTTTTTTTTATTTTATAAAAAGTATCATTCATATACTAAGATAAAATCTAAAATAAACTTAATTTTCAAAATTTCCCGCGAAATCTCCAATTTCTGTCATGGCGTCGCTATGACCTCACGCTCCTCTAAAACTTATATCGTTCTATGTATGAAAAGGTAGATAAAGATAAAGAATTCTCTAAGTTCTGATACGAGTAAGAGGAGCGTGACATCACGCGCTGATGCGGTCACGTGACAACAGGAATAAAATATTTGTTTTTTTTTATAATGAATTTAAGCAATATTACAAATATAATAAGTATAAAAGTGTGATTATTGGTAATAGTCTATCAAAAACTACTAGAAAAAAAAAGAAGTTAATTATCTACAACCCGTATTGCATTAGTTACACCATTAATAAGTCAAGAATAAGATTTATTTCACGGCTTTTGATTTGTACTTTTTTTCAGTCTGGAATTGTAAAAAATTATCAAGCATTAGAAAAATTCATAACAATGACAATATGTTTGTTAGGTTAGACAGTTGAGATACTTAATGGGGTGCGATTGTACAATATGGCAATGAGATCGTTTTTGTGATCATTAGTTAAAGCTTCTATAAATTTTATGGTTTCCGAAGAATGGCAACGGCCCGTTATTAATATGATCAACAATGACGAATGGTTCAAACATAATATTTTATTTTAAAAATTTATTGACTTTTGTTTTAAAAATCACACCCCACACAATTATTCTTTTAAAGTTCAATTAGTTTCAGATTTCTTTATTCCGGATCATGGCACAATACACATATTAAAGTTAAAACGTTCAAACATTTTCGCTGTAATAGCATGAATATGTCAAAATATTTAATATCAAGTTTTGTCTTTTTAATTGTGAATATGGGGCCGTATTTTCTGAGGAATCTTTAAGAAAATTAATAAGCGACACTGGCATTCTGTTGTTATTGAAATGTGCACAAAACTTTCACTACTATTTATTTCAAAATCATCAGTTGACATCATTGACGGTTATGTTGCCATAACTGACAAGGAAGCTGATAAGGATAACTATATCACATACCGCAAAGCTATGAATACGCTATTACTATATGCCTTAAATAGTAGATTAGTAGCCAAGGGTTGTAAGGTATCAATTGCAGCCCGAGAGGCGCCTATAGTTCGAGGGTGCAATTTATGCTTACACCCGAGCTAACTGCTCTGCTTTACATATCGAAGTAGAAAGAAACCGGCATTACAAAATTAAAACATTTTATTAGTTAAAATATCTCTTTTTAGATGTTTCAGGCAAAATATTGTTAATTGCTGCTTCAACTTCCATTTTCATTGAATCAGGAGTGCAACTTCTATCTTCATCATTTGAAGAACTTATGTTTTTTCCTAATTAGCACGTGATATAAAAAAATCCCAAAAATAAACAATACTTACAGCAAAAGTTTTCTATTCTCGCTTCTTTCATTATAAAGAAGTAAAGGTTTTTTTTAGTAAAGAAGTTGAACTTCGCCGTTTGATATTTAAAATTGATGACTATTATACTCATACGAAGACAAGGCTGTGAACAGCGAAGAGTTCATTGGGCCGAATGCATGATGTCTATTATCAGTATGATGGTTAGATGTACACGAACTTTTTTTGTGCTTTTTTTTATTACTTACCGCTTTAGGGCTTTTCTATCTACATTTTTAACCTAGAGCACTTATTGGTCACCCACAAAACCCATTTGGGGGTAATAAGGACCTACTTATCGAATACGAGAGATGTAAAATTTACTAATGAGCTGTATTTATTTACTTACATAAGTTTAGCTTCATTGAAGTTTTTTATTATATATTGATTGATAGCTGATATATTTTCTCCATCAATTCCCATTTTACATTTCACTATTAAAGTATATCCTGTAAAAAATAAATATAGAGTGGTTGAATGAAGCAAGAAATTCTGTTACATTTGTTACAATAACATCCAATATGACATACATGTATATTTGTAGGATATAGATTGATTGTTTGTATGTGGACCGAAACGTAAGGAGAGAGATAGAGCGAAATGTGAGTGCGAGAGGAAAAATACAAATTTTTAAGCGTGAATTATATGCTGGTTCGAAACAAAAGTAATTTAAATAAAGGAGAAGAGTTTCCAACAAGCCAATTCTGTTTACGAACGACACGACAAACACGCAATTAGCTCTGAGAGATATCATTAAATTTTAACGGTTGATTAAGAACAACTAAATGCAATAGAAAATGTTATTTTTTTGAAAGAAAAGAACATCATATTATTTACTAGCTGAACCGACAGACGTTGTCCTGTATTGTCAAATAAATTTTAATATTTACACCACGCATTCTATCAATTCTATGTCGAACGTCATAAGGTTACATAAAAAAAGTTTATATTATCCAAAGCACTAAGGTTAGATACGAAATATTTTCATATGGTGGTTAAAAAAATTACAATTTTTTCCAAACAATTTTCTCATTTTATTTCTTTCATAAGAACCTTCTGACAATAACAAACACAAAAAAAATTAGAGAAATCGATCCAGCAGTTCACGTGTGTTGGCGTGACCAAGGGAAATAGGATTTCATTTATCTATCTATATATATAAAAATGAATCGCAAAATGTGTTGGTAAGCGCATAACTCAACAACGCCTCGACCAATTTGGCCAAATCTTTTTTTAAAATGTTCGTTGAAGTTCAAGGATGGTTTTTACGGCGAGAAAAATTAGAATTATTGCTGGAAAAACCCTAAAAATAGCCCTTTTCTTTTAACGTAGTCAATTTGAGCTTTATTGCTATGGTATAAAGTTCATATTAAATTACAAGCACTCACTGTTGTCTAAGCAATGTAGGTGTGTTCCTAACGTCAAAGATCATATCTATCACAAAACAATGAGCGTGTGTGCGTTGGAGCACAGAATACATAGTTGGAGGAGTTTAATTAAGCGTTCCGAAACTCGCGTTTCTTTTGTATTAGTTTCGGCACGCGAGATAAAATGCATCAGTTTCCACGTCATTACATGTATTGCCGGAACATTGATGAAAATACGCTCTGTAGTAGCAAAGCTGTTGGGTCCTAGATAGCTCATTGGTTAGAGCAGTCCCTGAATCGCGAATGGGTTCGAGTCCCATTCCGGGGTACAGGTAGATGGATTCTTCCAGCATTTTTCCTTGAGAATGTTTATATATTTTTTTAATTCGAATAGTTTACTTTTATAATGCTGTTGTGTGTAATGTGTTTTTATGATCATAAAAATCTCTTTTTTCTATATTTAATACTATTACTATTAATACATTGCAATAATAATTATGATTCACATGATTAACAATAAAGCGATTACTTACTTTTAAATCCTTATATATGTTTTATTTAATTATTTTTTATTCACAACGCCCTATCACCAGGGTGACGGTTCTGTTCAGGAGAATTTTTTTAAATACGTAGGCAAAAAAACTGCCACATTACAAATCTTTTTGACGGGACGAAGTCTGTCGGGTCAGCTAGTATATATATAGATTAGAATTTTTAGATAAGTATTTACCTTGTGAGAATTTGCTTTTTAAATGCTGTAACGGTCCGAGGCAACATAGTGTACCATTTACCATGACCGTCAATCTGGAGCACAACGCTTCACATTCCTCCATGCTATGTGACGTCAGCACTATACTGCGGCCCGATGTTACGCTATTACTAATCGATGACCACACTAAACGTTTAGAAGCTGGGTCCATGCCTGACGGAGTTTAGGAACGAATAAAAATAAAGTAACTAAATAAAAACGAAGAATAAACTGAAGTATTATATTATATGATATTCCAGCTTGAAGGACCATTTTTCGAATTATTTGATTTTCAATATATGTCCGGAGAAATTTTTAGATTTTTCTTTTCGGACATATGTATTGTATGCGCCAGAAAAACTATTTAGGAATAGTGATGATTCCGGGGTAAAAAAGGAAATTTTATTTAGTCCGTCAGTCAGACAATAGAAAATATTAATGAATGAATGAACCACTCTGTGAATAATAATATTGTAAGACACACTTCAATTGGTGGCCTAATTGCTAAAAAGCATTTATTTTTTTCAGGTAACCTTAAATATTAGATACGTATTTTTTTGCTGCAATTTCACAAGATATGGCTTAAATAATAGGCATTAAAGTTGGAAAGTGGGGGCCCGCTACGTCACAACTGTAGAAAATGTACAAAAGTGTGACGTCTTCGACATTTTAACTCAATGTATAGCCGTAACTTATTGATTACGCAATAGTTAGATATCATGTTGTCTACCTGTTGTAGGTTCATCCAGGAATACTAATGGTGAATCACCAAGTAAAGCTACCGCAGTGCTGACTTTTCTTTTAGTACCGCCACTACATTCGTGCACCTGCGATGAGAAATGAACATTTTTAGAACAAATTTAATTAAATATATAATATAATATAATTAAATTTGATAATTATTATTATCAAATTTAATAATCAATATAGAATTGGCCTTTATTATTATAAAATATAATAATAAAGGCCAATTCTATTTTTCCGAAAACAAAATTTCGTCTATTCGCTAATATGACTTCTAAGAAACATAAAACGATAAGACCCGCCTCGCCTCTGATTCGAAATTTTTCCAATCTTCATTCGAGGACAAATAGAATAGGCTAGGAAAAGTTATATATATATATATATATATACAATTTTTCCAATCTTCATTCGAGGCGAGGCGGGTCCTATCGTTTTATGTTTCTTAGAAGTCATATTAGCGAATAGACGAAATTTTGTTTTCGGAAAAATAGAATTGGCCTTTACGTGTCATGTTAATTTGTACAAGTATATATATGCTTACCTTTTTATCATAATGTCTTAAAAATCCAAGCGAACTAGCGAGGTCTTTAGCCATTTTAGCTCCTGTCTTTGGCGGTATACCTCGTAGAAGACAGAATATGCGTAAAGTTTCCCTCGCTGTCAGATTATCAAAAAGCGCATCAAATTGCGGACAATATCCTGCCAAAATATTATAATATGAAATTCATGATTTTTAATAAAGAGCAATTGATTCGGGGATGGAAAAAGTGGTAAGTCACATTTTATTTTCGATCGTTAATATCCAAACCTAAAACAAACAAACAAAAAACCGCCCAGCACGAGTCGGACTCGTTTAGTTCATATATCAATCCGTTGCGTAGTTTTAAAGATTTAAGCATACATAGGGATATAGGGACAGAGAAAGCCACTTTGTTTTATACTATGTAGTGATTTCTCTATTTATTATTAAATAAAAGTACCTAAGTTGTAACATAAAATGTGGTAATTGAAATTAGGAGAAACTGGCGAAATTAGTACAGTAAAAATTGTGGTTGATCATCGTTGTAACTTAGTGTTCTGTGAGCTCACCTATATGCCGATGCACGTCTTGTATGTTTGTCTTGATGGACAGTCCGTGCACGTACGCGTCGCCACTAGATATATGAGAGTCACCGGTCAACATTCGGAATGTGCTCGTTTTACCCGCACCGTTTACCCCAAGCAAACCGAAACATTCGCCTTTATGGACACCTACGATAGAAAGTAGGCATTTTTTTACTCGATATGTTGACATTATTTAAACAACTCTTAAAATTCATGGTCATATTTTTTTTTCTCTTTATTTTGACTCATAACAGTCGTTTCTTCATAGTACTTAAATCAATTACAATATTTATAAGATGTGTGTCCAATACTTTTATGTAGGTAATTAACAAATAAGTAACTTTTGTTTGACGGACACCAATCAAGGAGGCAAATTGTGTTTGCACAACAATTAACTTCTTAGACAGTTGAAACTAGATGAAAATATTAATTTAAGGAATATTTTGTTGCTAACTATACTACTTTAGTAAAGATTTTGGATTTAATGCTACTAAGAGAGCAGTTAAAAAGATCTACATCAGAGAATTCACAATAGGGATGACGACTGGGTAAAAAAATGCAATTCTATTTAGTCTGTCAGTCAGATAATTGAAAAATATTAGATACGTATTTTTTTTACTTCAATTTAACAAGAAATAGCTTAGATAACGGTCATTAAAGTTGTGGAGTGGGGGCTCGCTACGTCACAGCCGAGTAGAAAACGTACCATAACGTGACGTCATGCGAAATTTCAACTCCATGTTACGCCGTAATTTTATGAATACGAAAAAATATAAAAAATACGTGTTTAATATTTTTTAACACTCTACCTGACGGACAAACAAACAAAAATTAGTCATCATCCCTATTGCTTAAACAGCGAGCAAAACAAGTATTTGCAGTATATAATTTGCGAAAACGAGGCAGTAGAATTTGTACAAATAATATTGTTACAGTGTATAAATTTTCATACAGTTATTTTAAAAAAGGTCAAATTGAAGTCCCCGCCTCCCATAAACTAATCCCATAATAATAAAATCTTTATTTGCAAAAATATGGTTTTATAAGTTGTTATTAATCTTTGAATACCCAGCATATTTTGTCGTCAGGACGACGTGCAAATATTACAAGTCATTTTTAAAAAGAAATATAAAGCTATCAACATAATTTCAAGAAATAAAATACAAATTGTCACTAAAATTGAATAAAATTGATATAAAAAAAATATGTCAGCATCTTTATCAAATAAAATTAAAAAATAAATGTCAAGTAAAATTATATAAATTATCCAAAATGTCAATGCCAATGAAAATGTTACCTAGAAAAACAAATTTACGAATATATGTCATACATTTTTATCTTTAAAGAAGTCATTCATTGTATAATATAATACTAGTTTTCATATATCGTTCATGTTACGTACCAAATGTCAATCTGTTGACGGCAAGAAATTTTTTATAGTACTTGGTGAGATCGCGGCATACGAGACTGTGACGCGCCAGCTCAAGTCTTGGCAAGTCGTAGACGGAACGCCGCTCTGCCGCCACGTCGTCATCCTCCGACGTGGGCACTGGCGGGGGCGGTTTCGGACGCGACGAATAGAACACCTATGTACCAATGATGTATTAAAAAGTTTAGATGAGTTATCTGCGCACAACATTGACAACAAATCAAGCCAATTGCCTGAGTTATACTTTAGTCGCGTTATAGCAAGCGTTGTGGGTAATATTATTTTCACACGTAATTTTCTGTGAAAAGTTGCTTCCTGCGTAATTCACAAATTACACATTGACAATGAGATAAGCAAACAAGATATCAATTTATGCGGAAGTATTGTATTTAATCTATTTTATTTTAATAAAAATTATAAAATGTCGTTAAACACGGGCATTTTTTCGTGCATCGTGTTCTACGACTAAGAGAGATTGGAGTTGACACTTTAAGCATGTATGATTATCTCGTTCTAAAAAGAACTATGGTAAATGACTCTACTAGGGAGATCACTATTTCTTCGCGCCCTTTGTGGTTGTATTATAATGTGACATTTCAATAAACATGAGTACTACTTGCACTCACAACGAAAACGTTGACATTTTTTTAATGAAATGTGACGTCACACACAATTTAATTTAAAACAAAAAGTACACAGTTATCTTTTGTATATAAGTTACCATTTCCAACATATTTCATAATTTACTGTTATAACTGTCAAGTAGCCAATTTTAAGGTTCATACATGGACACATTCGGCTAATGAGGCGTGTTCTTCACTCTGCCGCCTCCCGGTTGGTGGAGATCGTACATAACGCTAGCAAAATAGTATAATACGATTTTAATAAAATAAAAGGATAACGTTTGGTGTTCATTTCCGATATTGCAGTAAAATAACTAATGACATATTAGATAGCGAACCCATCGTCATATATGAGTTATCCCTACTTTTTTCCTAATTGCACAATAGGCACTATTTTCTTACCTTGTTTATGAGTTCGTACTCCTTGATTAGTAAAATTACGATGGTGACGACACCCACGAGGCTCATCATAAACAAATAACGACCGATGCCTGGTTCATTCCAATGCAGAAACGGATCATCTTCAACTGTATACATTTAAAATTTATTAATCACTTTTCATACAGCTCAATACACCTATAACACTTAACAACTTAAGTACACTCATAGCAAAAACGATTCTTAAGATTTCAAGAATATAATACAAACGAAAGAAAATTAGCAGGAATTAAAATAATTAACGCACTAACATACAGATCAAAGCTTTCAAAATATAAACAACATATTGTTATAGAAGTAAGTGTTCTGACTGATATAAACTGTGATTATTATATGTATTATCCGCGAGCCAAAGTAAATGCAAAACTAATAATAAATAACACACAGCAGCAAAACTCACTTACTACAACAGACAGAGATGTTGAGCTGAGTGCAAATGGTGTGTCGCGTGCAGTTCGCTATATTAACGAACTGTTCGCATAAACCATCACATGCCATCATAGAAAAAGATGACACGCTCATGTCCCTACGTCGAAAAAAAATGAAAAATGAATTAATTCTTTAACCAAGCAAAGAAATATATCCTATAATTTCAATTACGAATCCAAACTAAAAATATTCTCTCGGTTTCGTTTAATTATTTTTGGTAATATTAAAATATGATTTTAAGCATTTAAAGTAACTGGAAAACAAATTTTGCTTTAGAAATGTTAATAAAAAGGTTACTGTGTTAAATAAGTAAGATTTAATTCATGATACTGTGGTAAGCGGGCGCAATTTGCGATTGCGATGATTTAAGGTAAACGCAAATTAATCTCAATAGTGAAGGAGACGAAAGAAAAAAAAATTTTTGAATTCCTCATATGAAAACATAACGGCACTATTATTTATACTGTGCTTAGTGCACAGATTTCTGTTGAATGTCAAATTTCTAATGTCGCCTGTTATTCGCCTCCTTTAATTGGAGTTTATCCTATCAGCCTTTGTAAGCAAATTTCGCAAAGGCTAGGTGTTAAATTGTTTCATATGGATTCACTTTTTAGTAATTAAAATAAGACGTTTATTATTTAAAGACTTTATTCTTGTACGCCATCTTTACACACACACAATGCTTCCTTACCATAGATTAATTTATTTTTTCTTATTTAACCATAGATTACTAAACTCAATATCTTACACTAGGCATAGCATGGGTGATCAAAAATTTTAAAATTCTAATCTGCTTGAGAAATGACGTGACGTTATTTCTCCGAGAGCATTGACAGTCTTTAACAACTAATCATATTAGCTGCATGATGCTTCATCACTTTTTCTGTTACGGTTTTATTCTGTTTAAGAAATTCTGTGACATTAGGAGTTAATAAGGACGAAGAAAAACGGTAGTAAAACATCACATTAGATAATCTTACCTAAAACTCCTGCTGATGCAATATATGGGCAACGGAGAAAAGATCCAGTCAAATAAGTGAGCATAGTATGGACTACCCACTTCAGGTAACCTCAACACTTCTGTTATTAAAAACGGCATACACCCTAAAACGCAATTTATCAGTTATAATAATATTACATATGATTAAGATTAATCGATTATATTCTTATTATCGATTTTATTATTACTTACCACAGAAAATATTAAGGAAACACATTTTAGAAAATCCCGTGGCTGCCGCTTCAAAATAGAACGAAGCCAAGTAGTGGAGAGGTATAATTGCCAATGAAAATACCATGAGTACTAATAGTACTCTACCTAAAAAACAACATAAACATATAAAACATTGTAAGCATTGAAACTTTAAATTGTGAATAATGAGTAATTATAACCTCAGTAGACTGAATGATTTATATGTAGGCAAAAAAGTTCTAAAAATTATATCATTGTCGTGATTGTAAGCGGTCTTTCTTTATTTTATACTATGTCTATCTGTTACAACCTGTAAGTTGGCTGTCTGTTTTTAGCTAAGATTTTTATTTTGTAATTTTTTGCTGTTGGTCATCCATGTACATAAATAAATAATTAAATATTATCTGATAATTATTTGTATTTTTAAATTATTTGATAGCGAAATAATTACCTAATTCCTCTGGTGTAGATAGAGTGTTCTCCTGAAAGCATGCTAGAGTTAACACGATACACAGGTACACCAGGAGTAGCCATATCCAATCCCAAATGAACGCAGTACCCCACATTACCGCCGGCCGTACACCCGACACTCGTTGAAGAAGTTTTGCGCCGCTTATACGCTCCTAGTAGACATTAATATACACGATGTAGTTTTTATATAGTGCGCAAATGAAATATGTTTGTCTCGTTATATTCATTTTTATATCAATATTCGTTATCATTGTATATAATAAATAAGCTGTAGTTATGTCGAAAAAGTCGGTTGTTAACCTTTAGGTATTGTGGAATAATTAAAAAAAGTGAAGGAAAATAATGTGACGAAACAAGTGTACTCGTAAGTTTTCATACATAGATCTTTCACACATATCTACAAGTCGGGTGAATTTATTAACGGTCTTGAGTGTTTGTGAAAAGTACAGCGTGCAAAAAAAATTACATATCCAATTTATTCATATAATTAATAAAATTACGTAATATGTCACCTATTAAATTTGATCTAAAGAAAAACCCAACAATTAACAAAAAAATTCAAACTTAACAAAAACCCGACAACAATAACAACAGCTATATAAATTCGAAAGCGCAAAGACCCATAACAATCATGCTATCGCTGAGCCGGGAGGTGTCGTATGAGATATCGAAGGGAGTATGGAGGTCTGAGGCAAGTCTCACGTTTATAGGAATGATGTCTGTGTAAAAAGAAAAAAGAATCTAGTTAGCCCGTGTAAAAAAAAACGATCTAGTTAGTCTGCCTGTCAGATAATAGAAAAAAATAAATACCCAAGTTTATATAATACGATGTAAGTCAATGTCATCCTCCCTATTGATACGAGTAGTATGTAGATGTCTGATGGAAGAGATTCAAGAGATATGCGTCAATCTGTCCCTATATCAGTGCCAAAGGAGTGCCACGGGATGGATTAATCTAACGATTACTATTCTTCTCTTTTACGATAACATAAATGTTAACTATATAATCTACTATACATTATACTTTTCATACTTACTTTTATTACAAATAAAACTAGAAATGACGTAACAAACGCCATACAAAATCCAATGTTAAATGCAAATTGAAATCCCATGCTGCTTCCTGTAGCCATAACTCGAACCTACAACACGTATTTATCTGTACTTGTGGTACACGAATGGTAAAAACGAAAAAAAAAACACTAAAATTTTGTTGAGCTGGTATTACATGAATCAAATACTTAAAAATTGAATTTAATGCTATTTTAATACTTACTAAATTTTCAATGGAATAAGGGAGTGGATGGTTAACGATTTTAAGCGTGCTTCCTGGCGACACAGCGCGCATTATGGCATCATTGACATGCGCGAGCGCAATAGCAGCATCGTGATATCCATAGTTACTAAACCAGCCTGTTATTTGATTGGGTTCAAATGTCGCTCCTATTAAATTTTCATATCGTACACGTGCGAGATTTTCACGGCTCTGTGAAAATATTAAATTGCTGTATAGGTCACAAATTATTAGTGGCATTACAATATCGAGAATCTAGATAGTGCAGCGCATTTGGCCTACGATAGAAAAGGAAAAGACTCTTTCCCCAAAGCCTCAAGGAAATATTATGAGATTCTCTATATTTCGAAGGTAAATTAAGCTATTGGTTTTGGCTACATTTGAAATTGTTAACAGCCACTTGCGCGGTTTTTGACCCTATTTGTTTTTTTTCCATAGGAAAGACCTTCATTTCAGGCATTTTATAATAAGTAGAACAAATTTTCATCTTTATCGAAAGTTTAAATATTTGTTAAAATATTTCTTTAGGCTGTTTAGGTAGATTGCTTGAACATTTATGAAAATACGCTCTGTAGTAGCGAAAAAAGTAACAAGTGTTTAAAAAATTCGTAGTCCTGTTAGGTCCAGGGTAGCTCAGTGGTTAGAGTAGTCGCCCGGATTGCGAAAGGTCGTGGGTTCGAGTCTCATCTGAGATTGACAGGGACAAAATTATTTTTTTAGCATTTTTCATTTAGAAAATATTTTTTTGTGGGTGATAACTTACAAGTTTCATATAAAATTTTCCCAAATCCATAGTACCGACATCGACAAACTTCATGCCGGGATATGTTGACGACTTAAAGTATTTTTTTAACTCTTTCATTGCCTTCGCCTCTATGCTACTTTCATTTAAATTTGCACTTTGAGATATTAACGTCTGCGTATCTCTAAAACCACTTTCTAAGTTCAGAGTTAAAGGCGGCAATTGCGACATGAATTTCCATGATCTCGCTATGACTACTGATATTGTTATATTTATAATGGGTGTAACAAATTGTATGAACGCTGTCAATTTGCTTCTCATTGTGTTGTAAGCTAGTTTTAAAAACATAGCCTTTATGTGATTTTTTAATAATTTCAATCCTCTGACTTTTTGAAGTGGTTCAGCGTCTACTGTAAAAAAAAGAGAATATAACTGTTTATAGGTTTGATAACGCTTGAACATACATTACTGAATATCATACGAAATTTACCAATATTATTCACGTGAGCATTCTTTTCTAATGGAACTACAGCACAGTCGTTTTGTAAACCGACAAAGTTATTTTTTTTTGCCGACGTTACCTCATTGTCTTCTGCGCCAGCCCTAAAATAATAAACGTTTTATTTACGGTTCATGTAATATACATAGCAAACTAGTTGTATAAGACAAACTCACTTCATAAATACTTCTTCTAGACTGGTAACGGATAAACCATAGCTCGATACACGTAAAAGTTTTTTTCTGTCTTCAAAATCTTTGAGCATGTCTGGGAATTTGCTTACATGTTCATTCGGTAATATGTATGTTAATTCAGAACCTACAAAAATATTTTTCTTCAGTATAAAAAAAAATCAACAGATATTATAAGAACATATTTTCATTTTAAGATTTAAGATTCATAGAAGCCATTCGACCAGCGACCTAAAGAGACTAGGTATGTGGTATCTGAAATGTTAGAGCCACGATGAACAAAATAAATGGGTTTGAATTTCGTTTCAAGTAGAGAGGGAGACAGAAGTATTTTTTTTATAAATTAAATATTAATTGCATTGTAAATGTATAAATTGAACAAACATAATTACGGACATGTTATATTCCTGTATGTATGAATGTGATGGGTGATGAACAAACATAACAGTCAAACTGACTTACCTATGTTAGTGTTTTCCTTAACGTCAGGCACGTAGGCTTTGAAGAATTGCGTGATAGTGTCCACGTTACAATTATCACCTTTAACTATGGTAATTTTGTATCCTATGCCGTAATGTTTCTTTAGGAAGTAAGGCGTGCCGACGCATTGTAGTTTACCACCGGACATAATAGCGATACGGTCGCCCAATACATCAGCTTCGTCCATAAAGTGAGTTGTGAGGATCATAGTCCGCCCTACGATGAAAATTAAAATTGTAGAATTAAAAAGTCAAATATATATTAACGATATCGATTCATATGAATAGTAATCGAACAATCATTAATCAACTACATAAACAATGAAAACAAAAGCGCTTGCATGTTGGCAACTGGACTGTTTTGGAAAAAGTAATTTAGAAAATTCCTGTGATCATAATTCACCAATGTCAGATTTATTTTTCTCCAAAACGTGTTATTAAAATAAAGGAATAGTACATTACGATATTAGTGCGTTATGATGTTATAACCAATACGCACGTATCTCGTACGACATTTTTTAACACATTTGCGAGGAAACAGAAAAAAAAAGTTAAATAAACTCAATCTGTGAATGTACACTGTTGCTTTCCAGCCATTTTACAGCGCGCTATCGCTGCCTACTGACTGGCGCCGCGCGGCGATTAGTTCGAAATTTGAACAGCGCGCGAAATGGCAAATAATACTGTTATGGAATTTGTATGGACTATAACTTAACTATTTGCTTTGGTAACACACGCGTTTTTTATGACCCGCTTTACATATTTAAAACCGGTGGAATTACATCAGCTTTACGAGCAAAGGTGTTAAAAAATCTTTTTTTTTCATTAACTTAATTTTCCCGCGAAAAAAATCTGCCACGTTACATTTCATTAATTAACATGAGTACTGGCTGCACTCGCAATAAAGATGTCGACGTTTAGCTTATTGAACTGTGACGTCACACGATGCTCCGACATTGCCTCGCGCGTTTCGGTTCTTGTATTCCACAGATTAAACATAGCATGTTAATTTCGCAAAAATAAACTATACTTGCAATTTATTTCAAAACAAAAAATACAACATTGTTATTGTTTATATACAAGTTTTCATTTCCAACATAATTCATAATTAATTGTCATAACTGTCAAGTAGCCAATTAATATTCTATGAATGTATTCACTTTTGAAACATCAAACATTTCAGAGAAAATAAATTTGTTATAAATATACCTTTTTTCTCTTTCAGTAATAGATCCCATAAAGCTCTTCTAGCCGCTGGATCGAGGCCTGAAGTGGGCTCGTCTAAAAGAACAACGCGCGATGAACCGCACATAGCTGCACCCACTGACAGCCGCCTCTTTTGCCCACCAGACAAATTGTTTGATACTACGTTCCTCTATAATATTAAAATAATCTATTTACATATACATTCAAAATATAAATAAATATGTATCACAGCATTTGTGAAGCCCCATCTGGACGGATAATAGGGATGTCGACTATTAGTAGATACTAGACTACTAGTAGATTACTGATAAATATTAAACACGTATCTTTTTATTTTTTGCGTAATCATTAAATTACGACGATACATTGAGTTACAATGGCACATGACGTCACGCTTTGGTGCATCCCCCTTCTTTAATGCCTGTTATCTAAGCTATTTCTTTTTAAATTGAAGTAAAAAAACACCTCTCTAATATTTCTCCATCATCTGACTGACGGACTATTACCCAGTTATCATCCCTATTGTTTGAAGATTCCATCAAATAAAGGAGTAGGTTTTATTTGAATAAAATTTGTGCTAGCGCTGTTTTCTGCATTGTATTTTCAACAGAATAACACTGATGTATGATATCTCAAGTATATTACGTTATTCAAATGAGAAAATGTTACCTTCTCTTCAAGCTCGAGAAGTTTAACGAAATGGTTGACTTCTTCTTTAATTTTCTGTCTAGGCACTCCTTTTAGTCTAGAGTAGAATATTATGTGTTCAGAAACGGTGAGATCAGGAAACAAAACGTTATGCTGTGGACAGATACCGAGAGATTTACGTGCTAGTTCTGTCTCGTTGACGATATTGTAGCCATTTATAGTAGCCGACCCCGACGTTGGTGGTACCATGCCTGTAATGTAACAAGAAGTAAAGCATTAAAACTTACTAAATAAATATTTAAAAAAAAAAGTTTTTTTAGTTAAAACTGACCTGTTAGCATAGATATAGTTGTGGTCTTTCCAGCACCATTGTGTCCTAATAAAACGGTGATTTCATTTTCATACATCCTAAGATTCAAATTATCCACAGCTTTTTTACGACCTTTGTACACTTTTGTGAGATTCTGAAACGTATTATCGAAAGTTAAAGATCTAATTGTGTGACAGACTTCCATTTGTTTATGTGTAAACATGAAACTGACTTGAATGTTAACTCCCATTGGCACACCCTTCGGCTCTTCATCGTGTATGACTTTTAATAAGGCATCGTTGTATTCGAAATCTGTTCCATCCTTCTTGGTTATGGCTAAAACCAAATTTTTGTTAATGATATTTATTAAAAGAAAATTATGCAAGGAAGTATTTAGGCGAAGCGGTCATCCTGAAATAACTTTGGAGTTTAATATAATAAGGCTAAAGGGTTTGTTTGAATGCTTTAGCATTTTGAACTGCCAATCTGGTTCTGGAGACGGATTATGCTTATTTTATTACCTAAATGAGCGGGTTAAATGACATAAAACAAATGTATGAATGAAATACGATTAGTTTGAAGACAACACGCAGAACTCAAGGAAATTCTTTAAAAAATCCTTTCTGTATCTGGAATCAGTTTTACGATTGTACCTAATAATGGGTCTATTAGGTACAATAGTAAAACTCACACATATTCCATACACTATTTATTTCACTTATTATGAAATTGAGCTCTATTATCTTTTTTTTTATGGGATAGGGGGCAGACGAGCAGACGGATCACCTGATGGTAAGTGATTACCGTCGCCCATGGACACCTGCAACACCAGAGGGGATACAAGCGCGCTGCCGGCCTTGGAGGGAAGGGTTGAGGGGTAGAGGGAAGGGAATAGGGAAGGGTTGGGCCTCCGGTACCCTCACTCATACGACGAAACACAACGCAAGCGTTGCTTCACGTCGGTTTTCTGTGAGGCCATGGTATCACTCCGGTCAAGCCGGCCCAATCATGCCGAAGCGTGGCTCTCCAAAGAATCGAAACTATTGGATTACAACATTTACATCAAAACATATATTAACAGTACTTTAATATATAGTTATGAAAATTATTATATATCGGGGAACATTTTAAAGTATCGTCCGAATATAAAAGGTCAAGGTGAACTGTTAAGTGCTAGCTTTGACGTAACTTTATGAGACGAGTTATTACTTTAACGTCACCAAATTACACTGTGTTGTGTCATAATACGATTGAATGATACTGTTCGTAATTTACTTTTGTTTGTATTGATAGTGTTGTCATTTAGAATTTATTTATTGATTATTCTCAACCGTTTGTTACGAAGACCCGGCCTCACTCGCTTGATTCGAAGGAAATAATCATTTACAGCAACAAGTAGCCTACCGACCGGTTTCTGAATTCAGAAAAGTACAAAATTAAGTATTTTTTAATTTTCACAAGACCTAGTTTCTATCAAGCTATCAACTGAGCATTAAAAAACTAAAATCAGTAAAGACAGTCTGTTTAAGTAACGTTTGAAATGTGCTTAACTTAAAATACTCAATTCAGAAACCGGGTGTATATAACTTTCCAATCTCACAAAAAAAACATAACATCTCGACTTGAAAGAAAGACAGAGAGACGAATAAATAGAACTTTTATTCAACGAAAACTTAAAATATGAATAGGAATGATGACTAATTATTGTTTGTCTGTCCGTTGCGTAGATTATTAATCAATAACTTACGGCGTTACATTTAGTTGAAACGTCGCTGACGTAACACCTTCATACATTTTCTACATGGTTGTGACGTAGCGACTTTAATGCTCAGGTACCGTTACTTGTTAAATCAAATCAAAAAATATACGTATCTAATATTTTTCTATTATCCGAGTGATGGACTAAATGGAATTTTCTTTTTTTATCCTATTGAATTCGAACTTAAATTTTTGTGAATGTAAATTATTTGTAATAACTAGCATTGAATACTTACCAGCTGTCTTATATTTGTTGGGTCGCCAATAACTTTTAGTAAATGGGAAATACCAAGGAAGAGGTACACCATACAAGCCAGGTCTTATTTTTTCTACATACATTGCTATAAGCATATATAGTATAGCATCCAGTACCAACATTAGAGCTACGTGACCTGGTTGGTATAAATCATGGTATGAGACCGGCGAGAAAAATTCATTCCATTGTAGACCTTGAATAAAGGACAAAAGACTTATTAGTGATAAGTGGTCATTAAACTTAGACACATCAATATTATCGATTATAAAATAGTAGAAACTTTTAATCCACCAACACGATGGGGCGAAACATAGCGAAACTTAGTGATGGTAGCGAAATTTGCTGCCGCTTGTAGTAAGCCGAGTGCAGATGTAGTAATTTGTGTGCACTGTGTATTGTAAATACTAACTGATTATGGACATTCACTACTATCAGTACAGGCTTTGATCATTAAAATGCTTTGCACCAATCCATTATTTAGCGCATATTTTTTAGAATAAGGTAGTGGCACCTAAAATTGCCCACTGTTTTTATTGCTCTATCTAAAACTATTTCCATTTCCATTGTAGTTCTGCGAACAAATGAGCAATAACAATACAGGAGGATTATAATTTTAACGTATTTTGTTGTTTTCATAGCTAATGAGATCTCAGAAACTTTGGGTCATCTTAGGCGCCACTACCTTATAGTTATAAGAAAATTATTGAATTCATTATTTCTCAACTTTAATTTAGCTTATAAATGGGCTCGATGCCGTAAGCGACCTTAGGTGGTAATATCGTACACTCTGATTTATATAATAGTTCTAAAATACTATGGTAAATATACTTTACATACTATGTACTTTAGAAAAAAAGGAATGTCTTAATTATAATATTCAATTTTGATTATGGACTGATAAATTAACGTCTATGATAATTAACAAATCGATGGAAGTGAATCGACAGCAGTAACAATTCATAGAACCACAAAACTTAAAAGTATCTATTATCGTCTTTGTCAATGAATAATATATAAGAAGAATTTCACCACAGTAAGCAATTAAATATCACAAGGTATTAGGTTAGGCTCACCTTTTGAAGTTCCTTCGCACATGATGATCATCTGAAAGGCGTATCCCATGGCAGTATTAGATATAAGGCTCAGGATCAATTTTGTACTCAAACTGATGTCTTCGTACAATACTTGTGTGAGCATGAACACGGAATATGTGGAGAACCAAGCGAGTCCCATAAACGATGCTGCCGTATTTGCTGCAATATTCCATAATAGGTGCGATCGACTCCTAACTTCAACCATAGGGTGTCATCATAAACAACTGACCAAGAGCGAATCAGAGAGGGTTTCAAAACCACAGATTTCTAATTGGTTTTCTTGTAAATCTACAGGCACATTGTGTTTTTTATTTTCATAATTTTAGTGCCAGTAGTTTACTTACTGCTTTTTGTTTTGTAGTCGGTTAAAGATGAAAACTAACGTAATGCTCATAGTGTTAATTAAACAACAAAAAAATGCAGCAAATTAATACCGACGATGCGCAATTAAATAGAGCCACAACGACATCAAGTGGTTTAAATTGATATTACGAATGTAATGATTGTTTTGACGATGTAAATAATGCTCTTGACAATGTTCTACAGTGGTTTGATAATAATAATTTAAAGCTCAATTCAAATAAAACGAAATTCATAAAGTTTGCATTACCTAATGTGAGGCATGTTAGTACACTTATAAATGTAAATAGTGAAAAAGTTGAGTTAATAGAATCGAAAAAGTTCCTTGGTATTACACTAGATTCCCGACTGCAATGGGATCCTCATATTGATAGCTTGTCAAGTAGACTGAGTTCTGCAGCTTTTGCTGTTAAGAAAATTAGACTCGACAAATGTTGAAACGGCAAGATTGGTATATTTTAGTTATTTTCATAGTGTAATGACGTATGGTATATTGTTGTGGGGTTCTGCGGCTAGCATTCAGGATATTTTTATTCTACAAAAGAGAGCTGTCTGTGCTATATTTAATTTACGGTCTAGGGAATCTCTCAGAGAAATATTTAAAGAAATAAATATTCTTACTGTTGCCTCTCAATACATTGTGTACATAATACATGAGAATATTATGTACACAAGAAAACATTACCATTCCTTCACAAAAAAAAGTAGTGTTCATAATCTTAACACAAGAAATAAAAATAAACTTGCCGTTCCAAGCTTCAGACTTCAAAAAACCAGAGGATCATTTCTGGGTAAATGTATTGCTATGTTCAATAAAGTTCCACAAAATGTAATTGACGTACCCATAAATAAATTTCAAATTCATGTAAAGAATATACTTATGAGTAAAGGCTATTATAAAGTTGATGATTATTTTAAGGATCGCAATGCATGGAATTGATAGCCTTCGCTTTGTTCTATGACGACTAATTATATGTTCAACCTATGTCCTACAGACTTTGAAAGTTGTATTTATTATTGTGATAATACATATTATTTTGGTAATGACATGATTTATGTAAATGTCATTGCTTATGATAAAGAGCTGGTAAGTTTCTTTCGCTTGTTCTTCTTGTCAGCTAAAAGACGTCCCGAACAAGTGGTAGGGGAAAAAATTTTTTTTGGACGATTCAAAAGTGCTTGTAATAGCCTACTTGAATAAAGATATTTTCATTTTATTTCATTTCAATGATTACATACAATCATGTGTTACTCTGCCGACGTTTCACAATGGTTCTTTACTAATGCTATTTTTTAGTTTAAACATAACTGCTATTATTGCTTTCCTTCGATTTACATAAGTAGTTATATATTTAGATTTTTAAACTATCGGATATCGCAAATACAAATATACTTTCCAGTGTGTTTTTCCAAAAACACTCGATAATATACTTTCCGTAATAAGAGTGACTGACTTTATAAAAATGACTTTATAAATATTATTGGTACATACGGATTATTACCACAATGCGTCGTTATCGAAATTTCTAAATTTACTTTGAACTCTATTTATAATGCATTAAGATTTAAAATAAATTGAAGTAATTTAACAGTTTACTCTAGCCTGTCGTGCTATTGACTGTACTTACCTCTGGTAAAAAATACGCTGACCATGAAGCAGAAGGCAAGTGAAGCGATCACAAATAGCACCATAAAGAATAAAAGCACCGACCACGGTGTAAACGTGAGCACCGAGTACCTATCGCCTGCTGCCGTCGAGTTAAAAGGAACCTACAAAAAAAAAACAACGTTCTATAATAATAATAAAAAAAAATATTTTTGTTTTTGTAGCGCGATTATAGCTTTTTTGCCAATCAGAAGAAAAAACATAATCACATTTACAAAATATGATATTAACAAGCGTATTACGATATAACTTAACCCTCTATTGCATACAGAGCCATTTTTGGCTGCTAAACTTTAGTAATTTTTTTCTACCCTAATTATAAACAAAAAATTTAAAATTTATCACAGTAATATTAGGGAGTTCAAACTGAAACGAAACGCAATTTTTATTGTCTATGGCCAAAGTCGTATGTCATTATAACCTCACTTCTTTCCGGTGCGTACGCAAAGTCGTTCTTAGTGAAATTTACTGCAAATTTATTAGTGAAAATTAAATAGAAAAAGTAAGAATATTGATATTCAAAAATATAAATAATGTTCTACAAAGCCTCTGGTTTTGATGCCTCTTACACTTTATTTAAAATATTTGTTCTTTATACTTTATTTTCATTATTTTCTACGGGAGCCATTTTTGGCTTCGTATGCATTATGATAAAGTAAACTTGAGCCTAAAATGGCTTCGCATGCATTCAGAGTTCTTTTTTTTAACGTTAACAACGAAAAATCTCTGCAAAAGTGCAAGAGCTACCTCTAAATTCAGTACATTCAGACAAAATTGACCATTTTCCGATTCATCAAAGGACTCGTCAATTATGTCAGTATGATTGTTCTTTGCGTTCCCATATAAAATGTGAGAAATGTTATGTTTTTCTATGCTTGAATGAGAAAAGAAACTGTTTTAGAGAATTTCACCTTGTATGATGTTTATTTGTCGTGCATCGGAAGCCAAAAATGGCTTCTGTTTTTTTTTTCCAAAATAATAAACTTATTTTTCTTTTCACTTTATATTTTGTCTTATAAGCCATAATAAAGCACATTAAAACATAAAAATATTTTTTTTCTATTAAATTTAATAATTCATGCAATAGAGGGTTAAAAGTATGGTGTGCAAGTGTGTCCATTATAATTTTTTGTTTAAGCAAGACAATATCATGTTTACCGATGTGTAAAGGAAAATCTGCAAAATATAGACGCGTTTTTAATTATCAACTTTAATTGTTATAATCGTAGTTGAATAGCGACCCCTAGACAAATCCTCATAATCACAAGGACGAAACGAAATAATTACAATGAAAGTTTGTCTTTTATTTATATTAACCAAATTGATTGACACATTTGTTTACTTCAACCTCTAATTAAATATTCATTTACATAAATCTAGCACTGCGCGGAAATATAATTTACAGTCTACAACATTTGGAAGGTCGATTGCGTAAATATAAAGTCGCATGTCCTTTTTCCCAATCAGATATTTGAGATCAGCCCTGCGATTCTGTAAATTTCGTTTTGTATTTTATACAAAAAATGAAATCAATAGAATTTCTTCACTAAATGCAGCATAATTATGTATTCGTCTTCCGCACTTCATCTCAACATTCTCTCCTTTCTTACTGTTTTTTATTAGATTTTCCTCAATTTACATTTTCACCCACATCATACAAAATTTCGTTACAAAAAAATCATCTCATTTCTTTTCCACACGTCCAAGTGCTGATTCCAATTTTCTGTGATGCTACTTTAAAACTGCCCCGAATGTACTGATTCTTCACCTTATCCACTCGCATCGCGCGACACAACGAAATATAGCACTCCACTCCATACAAAACAATATAGTTTAATGTATTAATAACAAATGTCTTACCTTAAATAATATGACCATTAGAATAACAGATATGAAGAGGAATGAAAATTGCTTGATAAACCATGCCATCCAATGCAGCCAGGAAGGTAAACCCATAATAGTCATCGTCTCCTAAAAATGTTTCAATTTTAAAAATATGTGTCTATTAATTTACAAATGTTATGTTCACTTATTTGCTGTCGGTATCGGTGCAGCGTACCTGTCGTTTTACCACTACACAGCACTATGCTATTAAAACGCATAATCATTAGGGTAACTGTATGTTTAAATTTAAGACATTGCCTGACAGGTGCTGTGCTGTTCTTACTAAGTGTTAATAATTACCATCATGGATAATATGTGTACCACAGAAAAAAGTGCCCTCAGTTACGCATACATATTTTAGCGGCGCAATATTTCTACTGCTCCACCTTGTACGGACTACTAGGTCAAACTTTTCCAACAGCTCCCAAATTATGCGCACCAATTGACAGAATGTATTATATAGTCCATGACACGAAATTGAAGTGTAGTTTAAAATTAAAAACTAACATTTAAGTACCTTTAATTGTAGTTCCTTTTCAGCAGTAACTACTCTGACGGTATTCACGAAAGTGTACGCAAAACAAAGCATTATAATCATAGAGATGAATCTCTCAAGTGCGATCAACAAGTCATCATCTCTGTACGCTATTTGTGGCAGACGTTGTAGGTACACTTTTGTGTTCAGAGATTGGCCAGATTTTTGTTTTATTATCTCCTTTGATACTGCATGTTGTACAGCGAGAAACATTTCAGGAGAGTATCCTGAAAATTAGTATAATGTTCTTAAAAGAGTAAATGCTCAGTATAAGATAAGATTGACTAAGCACTTTAAAATAGGGATAAAGATTAATTATGCAAAAATATGTGTTTGATATTGTACAATAATTTACTTGACGGTCAACCGAAAAAAAATAGTAACTTAAAAATATAAATCCACGTTATGATCCAGTCAATACCCTAATATATATGATGTAGTTTTCTAATTTTCAATAGAGCCTTTAATAATAACCAATTAAAAGTAAGTGATTTCCCTTAGGCTGAGCGAATACCCCTCTTGATGAAACAAACTCACAATATACAAATAATTACTCGCCGCTCTCGAAATCAATAATAAAGGTGGCTTTATAAAGTGACTTAAAAGTATTAAATCAGAAGTCGTAATTTGAGAAAAGAATATTGACATTTTTTTTGTAATTGACGCCACAATAATATTTTGCAAATATAACAAATTTAATAATCAAATCTTATTTGATGTTTATCATATGTAAGAAAAATATATTAGGTTCTTACATATGAAATTGGCGTTTTTAGCCTGATACAAATACGAGAAAAACGGAAATAATTCGATATAAGCCTGGAATATTTTTAATCGTGTTTGTGAGCCAATTACAAGAGACTATATTTAAGAATCCATCTCATTTTAGCTACGGAAGGTATAAAAAAAACATCAGGTCAAAAAACCTTCATTTATTCAAGAAAAATTACTAACACGAATTTTTTCACAAATTTTGGTTTTATTTATCATAGCGACATTTTCTTTTTAGTTGGACTTTTTAGTTGGATTTCAGTAATGAAAATTACTGAAATCCAACTAAAAAGATTACAGGAAATAGTGATTTTTATTTAACTTTATTTTTTACTTAATTTTTTTTTTGTTGTAGTTTAATATAATAAAACTTTTATTTAAATATTTATGAGTGGATTTTAATGATATTTAGTAGAATATGTGTTTCACTCAAAAGTCTGCTGCATATATTGCGTGTTATATATTGGTAATATTGGTATGCAATATTCCCATGGAAATTTTCATTGGATTCAAAACAAAATATACTTAACGCAATTTAGTAATATCGATTGAAGTCGTATTTCATTGTTAATTTTATTGATTTTTTTACAAATATTTTTTAAATATTTGTTGTCCGTGTTATATCAAAATATGAATTTCCAAATATAATATTAGGAAGATTTATGTATTTTATGGAAGTAACGTAAGTAACAGCGTGAAAATACGTAGAAGTCCCCTTATATGTATTTTGCTTATCATGCCATTGAGAAATTAAAGGTATTTTATTTTTTTTACTAATAATCCGAAAGAAAATATCGTTGTATTAATTCATATATTAAAAAAGAAATATATGATACCCTCATAATAATAAAAAAACAGCTATTATGTTTTAATGTTTGATCTCAATACTGAAAGTTGCTATTTGTATCAGGCTATTTGTCGTACTGGCCACTTTAAAATTTCTCCTCCTTGGTTGGGATCCCAAATTCAAATTTATACAGCCTATTAACACATGTATATGTGTTTCGTTAGGCGACATTCATTTGGTTTTTTTTTCTTTTGTTTGTCCTATTTACGTCACCCAGTATAAAAAATGGAAAACTTGAAATATAGTGTTATTTACGAGTACGAGTTCCACCGTGGTACCAGTGCTGCGAAAACGGCTCGAAGGGTTAATGATGTGTATGGCAGTTGTGTCGCAAAAGAAAACACAGTGCGTTTTTGGTTCCAACGTTTTCGTTCTGAAAATTTCGACCTGCAGAACAAGCCCCGTGGGCGGCCGGAAACCCAAGTTAATAATGAAAAATTGAAGGCTATTGTGGAAGCGGATCCATCGCAAACCACGTTCGAGTTAGCTGCAGGCTGCGGTGTTAGTGATAAAATTGTTTTAATCCACTTGAAACATATTGGAAAGATTAAAAAGCTTGAAAGGTGGGTGCCTCACGCAAACCGGCAAACGCGCTTCGACTGCTGCGTTAAGTTTCTTAACCGGCACAATAATGAAGAGTTTTTAAATCGAATCATTACCTGTGACAAAAATTGGATTCTCTACGATAATCGAAAGCGCTCATCTCAATGGTTGGACCCTAGCATGCCAACCAAATCCTGTCCCAAGCGAAAATTGACCCCAAAAAAGTTACTTGTAAGCGTTTGGTAACGCCACTGCTACTTCACGACAACGCTAGTCCACACACTGCACAACAGACGGCTACCAAATTAGAAGAGCTTCAATTGGAATGTCTAAGACATCCACCGTACTCCCCGGATCTTGCTCCAACATATACCCAATTTTTCTGAAATTTCGATAACTGCAAGGGAAAAAATTTTACTCCGATGGGGCAGTGCAAATCGCCTTCAAAGATTTTATTGATTCTCGTTCGAATGGTTTTTTTAGTAAGGGGATCAATGAACTACCCATGAGATGGCAAAAGTGCATAGATAACGATGGTTTATGCTTTGATTAAATAAATATATTATATTTAAAAATATTCGACTTTTTGTTCCTCCCATACCAAAAACCAATTTCATATGTAAGGACCTAATATTCAATAAAATTTTCAATTATTATTATATTCGCTTTAATAAAGTTAGAGAGTTAATCGTCCCTCCCTAAATAATCAAATAAAACTATTAAATAACTACGTTTACGGTAACGATGCGATACCCAGAAGCTATATAAGCCATGTCATCAGATGACTTGGCATTTATTTACATAGGCACGCACAGTCACGCTATTTCGGCCTCCGCAGGTAATCAAAGAACGCTGTATACTTGTAATAAATGTCAGCTTTACACTGGCGCTGGAAGGTTTGTAGAACACGTGAAGCTATTCGTTTGCAGTACCCGTGCAATTTTGCGAGCGTATGCGAATCTGTAATTGATACTTGAAAGGATCCGCAAACGATCGGCGTTGTTTGCTATTTTATATGGTTCGCATGGAAATTTGGATGCTCCTAAAGTGCAGCCGCCTTTTATGGTAAAGCGTATAAAATCAATATGTCGACTAGGTATGATAATATAAAAGAAAGTAAGGGATTAATAGTCGGTTTATTGAAGGTGCTAAAGAGTTAACTATCTATCCATTATTTCCAACTTATTTACAGTAAACTGCATGTCAAATTATACAAATCTGTCTCTACTCTCAAGTTTAAGCATTAATGCGTCGAGGATAGATTCCAAATCGATTGGGGCAACTCAATATTTGACGGGTTTGTTTTTACTTGTTGCTGTGTGTACTTACCTGGAGTTTTACCACCGTACATATCGTCGGCATCTCGGGGACCGGGACGAGGAAATAAAGGAAAAAGTAAATTGGTCCTCCAACTCGCTCTTAAGGGATGTTCCAACATAGGAGTCCTCATAACTGCAGGAAATCTAAGCGTTACCTTTACATCATCAGGCCATGTTGTTGCATCTAAAATAAAGTATGGTTAAGAAAGTTATTTCCTTTTTTTGCCCGCGACTTCGTCCGCGTGGTAAAGTTACTTTGGGCAGCATTTCTAAAAACGCTAAAACAAATATTATTCATACCAGAATATGAAGGTTCATGATTTTATCTTTGGCAACGACGAACTTCCTTTAAACTTTAAATCCCTATTCAACCTTTTATCACAATAAAAAGCAACCTATGTCCTATATCAAGTAAAACTATTTTTAGTGGGTTAGGTGTGAGAGCTCAACAAATATATACACAAACCTATTTTCGCTATATAATTAATATTAGTATGTAAATTATATATAGCGCGGACAGCTCTCTTTTGTAGAATAAAAATATCTTGAACGCTAGCCGCAGAACCCCACAACAATAGACCATAAGTCATTACACCATGATTTAAAAATAGTAGTAGTATAGTAAAAGTAATGTTGGGAATTCTTTAAAAACCAAATAGGTAGTTAAAAAATCTAAGAAGGCTGGATAGAGATTAAATCATAAAGTATTAATATTAGTTCAATGACATGTGTTGCTAATTGACCTATTTCTCTTTTACTTCAAATATAATTGGCTCAATTTTTGAGATTAAGGTTACCTGAGGTATTCAGTTGTCACTAATGGGATTTTTTCGGATTATTTCACCACAAAACAGTCACTTTATGACATAACATATAAAAAGATTAATTTTTGGTAACAAAGGTAAGGGGTGCAGCTTTAAAATTATCTGTGGGCTAATTGTATAATTTTAAAATCTGTCGCAATTCCTTTCAAAGGTATGATTGTGATTTTTGAAAATAAGTAAAGTAGCAATCGCTTTTGGGCGATTTCATAATAAAAACTTAGCTAAACATGTCTAAAGATTAAGGCTTAATTTTATTTTTATATATTTTTTGTAATTTATCTAGGTGTCAATAAACGATTATTCTATTTTATTCTTATCATTCAACTCTCATTTAACGTTTCTCAAAAGCTGTCAAAGTAATTAATTTACTTTAATTGGAAGGCAAGCAATGGACGCAAATATTACTAAACTTGAATTTTAGTGGCTTAACTTTTTATTTAAACTTTTAACAAAAGCAATGCAAAAGGTTGCACGAAAATTATGAAAATTATGGGGGTTCCTGACCCGGCGGGTTCCTTGCCGGATTCCGGGTCGCGGGATCACAGCAGATTCTATCGGCTAGGTCGGCCTCGCTTAAGCCTGCCCTTTTCAGCGTTGCGGGGTCAGAAAGCCCTTGTTTTAAGGCTTAAGGTTGCATTTCCTCTGTATTTAAAACCCTAATATGCTATTAACATCTATCTTACTTCCGGATATATTACTGACAAAAGTTACTTTACGACATATGATGAATGGAATGGAGCATTACTTATCGGGAGGTGATATTTCTAAACCTAAGAAAGATATAGTGGATTTCCTGTAAATGTCGGAGGGAAAAAGTCGCCGATAGTCGCCGATAGTCGCGATAGTCTTTTTTTGCTTCTTAAAATTTAAGGAAAGAAAAATAATGGTTAACTTTTTTAAATTTAAACACAGGTCAAAAATAGCAGATGTTAAATAGGTTTAACTGTCGCTTATAGAAGTAGAGACAAGTGCCTGTGTTTGGTATAGAGGTTCACCAGTGAAAAACAACTTTCTCTTATTATAGAGGTTTTTATTTCTCACTTAGAGGTTTTAGAGGGTTGAAGCTTGACATGACTCTTACTGTCATTTATATAGTTCTCTTACTAAACCATTTCTCTCCTATCCAGATTCCACTGTACATGAACCAATGGTAATTTTTTGGGTCTCTTTGTAAGATTTTGCATACCATTTCTCAACAAAGTTTTAGTTTTTCATAATCAAATTTTCTTATAGAAATTAAAAACAAAACTTACTAGCCATGCTGTCATCAAACTGGATCCCAACAAGTATATGATTCATAACATTTGGTTGAGTCAGAGCTGCTTCCATTTCTGCTGCATTTTTGTATCCTTTGGGTTGAGGAAGCATGTTTGTATCAAACAGTAAAGCAAGTAATCCATTGAGATTATCAAGTGCCACTGTTGCCATTGCATCTTCAGTCACTTTTCTAGTTAAGGGATTTTCTGGTGAAAACGCTAAAGTTCCCTCTCTTTTGGCTGTTGTCAGATTACCACTAAAATATTATATTATACTCTTAATGAAAAATGATTAAAAAAATCATCAAATTTTTATCTTTATTGAAAGTTTAAAATTTGTACAAAATATTTAATTCAGCTATAAATAGTAAAAAGTAGCGAAAAAGTAACAAGTGCTTGAAAAAGTCATCAGTCCTGTTAGGTTCTGGGTAGCTCAGTGGTAAGAGCAGTCACCCAGATTGAGAAAGGTCATGGGTTTGAGTCCCATCTCAAGGTGCCATGGACAAAGTGGATGTTTAAGCATTTTTCATTAGGAATATGTTTCAGTATAGCATTGTGAATGCAAAATTGATCAAATATAATAATTTAATATTATATTAAGTCAACCTTTAATAAAAGAATAATAAACAAATATACTCACAGGCTTTGGCCACTTATATTGAAATATGTTGGGAAAAATGGTGGATATGTAATATCTGGTTTGGACTGAGGGTCTACAAGACACCTGACTAGTATAAGAAATAAGGAAAATATCACAGGTGATGCAATTTCAAATAATGTCTGCCATTTGTGCCTTCTTTGTAGAAGAAAATTCTTCCAAATGAGAAGTTTTAGCTTCTCATATGATCCTATAACAAAATAATACAACCAAATGTTTGAACAGTTTTATAACAGATAATAAATGGTTGTTCATAATTAATTTATATTATTGCGGGTCAGTAAAATCAAAGTGATGTTTTTTTTATTGCAGTGATGGCATGTGTTGAGGTTCACAAGGCATAAATCTACCTATTAATGACCGACACATGTTCAAGGCTAAGATGAAAACTCATTTATTGTGTACCTAATGAACTTTATATTATTTTGTTGCTTATTTCATTAATTCTGATTGTACCAAAACATGGCATTAGGAAATAATATTGAAAAGTAAAATACAAAGATATTACACTTAAAGTCCTTTATTTTTTTTTTAAATTATCGCGGCAATTTATTAAACAAAGGCGCAATAGTTCTATTAAATAAATACGGATTAGGCGAACTCATAATATTTGTAGAAATAAGTAAAATCTGGAATTCAGTAAGTTATGATTTGTTTCATAAACATTTATAGTTTTAAAATTGTTGCGTATAGAATAAAAATATTAAAAGTATGCATACCTCACTAAAATATTTTGATTTTTTACTCCATATTGCAGAAGAAGATAAATATTCCGTACATATTTAAATAATTACGAGATCAAAAATAAATTTACATTTTAGAGTGAATATCGTTCAACACACAACACCGATGACTTTGGAAAATCCACTGATGCTTATGACATATGATACGTCACTTATATAAACACAGTTTTTTTTTTTTTCAATATGAACTTGTTCCGTTATACACGGAAATTTTGCCAACATCTCGTAGTGAGAGAGACACGTGATTCAAGAGACATATAATATTGTAATCTTTGCAAGAGACTGAACGGTAGTTATAATTACATATGTACGGTAATTAATCAATTCTTTCTTGATGTTGTTTTTTTCTCTACTAAAAAAAACAATACAAGAGCAAATATCACTATAACTACAATAATTTAAATACGTAAAAGGACAACACAAAGGCAAATAACACTATAACTACAATATTTAAATACATAAAAGAGAATTTTGTAACACTTATTTTTATAATTTGATATTATGTTTTTAATAAATTTGCAAAGACGTAGAAAGCCAGGTTTATCAGAAATAGTAAAAAGAGAGTTAAGATTAACTGGGACGGGGAGTTTTAGGTGGGAGTTGATTATATAAAGACGAATACTTCTGACAGTTAAAAAAATGTTATCAGTGGTACCTTCTTCAATTCCAAATTCACAAACAGAACTATTTAAAATTCGAATCTTTGCAAGAAAAACAGGTGTAGTTACATGTCCAAAACGAAGATGATATATGGTAGTGACGATACGTCTGGGAATATCACGAAATTTATACAGCGTGTTTGGTGATACCTGCATAATCCCGAATATGGCACATACGGTATGATGAATAAAACTTAGAAAAATGATCACTAAGTCTGAATCTGATCACATGACCTAGATATTTAGGTTTTTTTCTTCGAAGTAAAACTGTACGCCGACGACTCTAAAAACAGCTGTTGTGTTGTATTTGGTCATCGACTCCATGTGCCGAACTAGTTTAAAAAATAACAGAAGTTAAATAAATCTAAAGATAAATGCCTAGAATAAATATGCATCCGAGAGTAATTTATTATTTCAAAACAAAGAAAAAGTTAGTAGTAAATGACTTTTAACCATAAAAGTACACCAATCTTGTGATTATCGGTGTTTAAACTATAATTAAGATAACTTCTCTAATAATACAGTCAAAATAAAAAAGAAATTGCAAATACTTTGATTGAAGTTAGATACTGCACTATTGCTCACATTAGTCTATGCAAGAAGGAGCGACAGAGACATAAAATCGACGACGATGTGTATTGAGAAACTCGGGTTTCTCATGTGTCAGTAAGGTTCTGTAGATTAATTGCTTTGAAGTTTTGTTATTTTTTTCATAAAGCAGTGTTATTTTCACGAAACAATAAAATACGGACTTTTACAATGATATTAATAATCTAAATATTTCGCTTATTCTTAGTTTTAATGATAATTTAATAAAGGTTAGTTGTAATGGAAAGGTCTAATAATAAATAATATTTCTTTTGTTTTCTAATTTAATCAATAATTTTTATGCCTTATAATTTTGTTAATGACTTGGTCTTAAATTAGGTAACCACTTTTAATATTATGACCTTTTTTTTTCTTCTGTAACCGTGAAAAGCGTAAATAAAATTGTAATAATAAGTAAACAGCCTAATTATCAATTTCGTCAGTAAAAAAAAATAGTATAATAAGTTTCATTGAAATTTCATTGTTTAATTAAATAACAAAATAACGATTGTTTTGTTAGGTAGGTTACCTAACACAGAATTTGATGACGCGGAACCCTAAATCGATGCACTTTTGATTTAGGTACCTACATTGATGTTCGAGTTGTAATAATTACCTATGTAGTTTTGGTCATCGCTTCAGTCGCGTCGGAGACTTTCATCGGTGTACTTGTGAGTTTTCAGAATTTAGAAGGTCAACTTACGTTTTCGTTCTTTCGGGGCTTTTGGTTTGTTTTTCATACTCTTTCTGTTTACCTGTGTGTTGTGTTTGTGCGCGGTCAGTGCAATGAGTTCGTACTCAAATGCCTAATATTACGAGACGATATTGTGTGTTGTGCTTGTGACGGTAATCTTGCTGCGGCTCGGCGGCTTTATGACGAGCGCCGCGTGTCAGGAAGATCTGAAAACCCTCGACGTCTTCCTTCTTAACAGTGCTTCGCGGCACTTGTGAATCGGTTACATACAACTGGTTCATTCCATAGTGTGATACAGGAAGGCCGGTCGAACACCTATTCCATCGAGAGAGGACATCATTTTACGTCGAGAGTAACACAGTCTGTGTCGAATCGAATGGAGATGTGTGTTATATGTGGTGGCCGGCATATCGAGACCTTGGACTGATAAAGTGGAGGTGAAGTGTAGGTAATGTTGACAAGTGAGAGCTGAGAGAGTGATAAGAACGCTGCCTCTAGGTATGTACCTGTTTAATCTTAAATTGTTTTAATTACAAGTAAACTCATACGCAGTCAAGTGCGCGCGTCGGCGAAATCAAAGTGTATTCTAGGAAACGAGAGAGAGTGAGATGTAATGTGTGTGTGAGAGAGAGAGAGAGAGTGAGTACGCCGGGACGGCACGTATAAGCTTTCAGGGTTGTAGAATATTAATTGAAAACAAATTGTTCAAATATTTGTATGAAAATCTCAATTTACGTGAAATTGTTTTTTGACATATTAATTAAGTTCTTTATGCTAAGTTGTATGGCCATGTTTCGGGATTATACTTGTATTACCAAACACGCTGTAGAACCAAAGCTTACTCGGCACAGAATTTCGTAGGCTACCATAATGTCGTTCTATAATTTTAGAAGTACAGGTCCGTCTTGTTCCCCATATATTTTGTAGGTCAGACCGAGCTATTTGTAAGATATCCATAGAATAGTTCTATAGATGAAAGGGATCATTTGTCATAATAGCCTCCTTGGCCCAGGCATCCACAATTTCTTTATTTCGTATGCCGCTGTGTCCAGGTATCCAAGCTAAAACAATTTCAATATTCTGGGAATGGCATTCAAAAAGCAGATTTTTAATTTAAAAAATTATCGGTGACGGTGCTTTGCTTTTAAATAAATTACTTAAAAGAGCTTCTAAACTACTTTTTGAGTCGGTAAAGATGATTGTTTTATTCAACTTATGTGGAAGTATATAGGATACGGCTTCTGAGATAGCCACCGCTTATCTAGAAAAGACAGAAGCTTCAATTTTTTTTACGACAAAAAATTTAACAGCTATTAATAAATATTCCAAACTTAAAATGAAATGCCATGTTTATATAACTTTTCTAAGAGACGATACACAGCTGAAATGACGAGTTTAGTTAGGGATTCAACGATACTACGTAGGAATTGATACTTTTGTTCGATACCTACTTGTATCGATAAATTTTCAAATGCCTCACATCATTATCATTGTTATAGCCTTTTTAGAGTAGATTTGATACTATTGATAGTCAATAGCTATATCCTCTGTATAATCAGATGAAGAAAGAGAAGTAGGTCTAGACATAGTAAAAAATGCATATAGAAAGTATTTAGTATGTATTTAGTTAGGTATTGCTGTTGAGGGAGACTGCTTTGCTTCCGACCTTCTCGGTTTAAGGTCTTCTTAATTAATTTAAATTTAAATACTGACATTTTGACAATCTGTTCTGCACATGCGCGTCTATTGTTATTATATTGAAAGTCTCTTCGAAAAGCTATTGTCGGTGCTGTTTGTATTTTATAAAGTATATATTTTTCCTGGTCTTTCTCTATACCCTTTTTACCATCGGGTATCAATTGCTTCAAAATTTTGTTGGCAGTGCCCCCTCTAGATAGATCTCAAATTTCATAAAATTAGTAGCGGTTAGTAATGATTATAGTCTGTTCATCTTCCTCTGAGACAAAATGTAAACAAACTGGAAAAAGGTTCTTTAATATGTCAAAATATAAATGCATTTACAATTAATGAAAAAAGAAAGTGTCATTAAAAGCACCTAAAATTGAAGCTGTTCCCAAACATTGGACGTATTATAATACTACTTATTTGAGGAGCAGTGATAAGGCAAATAATTTACGTAGAAACGTGAAATTTTGTAATTAGTCGGGTTATACCGGCCATTTTAACTCACGATCAACTTGTTGACTCGTGCAAAATGCTTTCGTTAAATTCTTGTTATTTGTTTATTCCAGTTGTAAAGTTTGTTGTTTTCTGTTATTGTTAAGTTTTTTGTTGTTTCTTTGTTGTTATATTGACATTTTCGTCTGAAATTATGAGTGAACCTGGACCAAGCACAAGCAAAGCTTGTACTTTTTCTTCACCAAAGAAAAGGCGTTCCAAGAACACCTCCTTGCGTTCAAGTGGCTGTTATCAATGTGTTAAAATATGTTGACGAGACATGACCCAAGGATTCGAATCCTTACAAAAGTGATAACGTCAACAAAACGGCAGAACTAATGAGAATATCACGCGCAACTGTGCACAGGATTATTAAAGAGTCACAGTGGCAAGACTTTCACCTTACCACTGTGAATTAAATCCTATTGAACTGATATGGGCCCGAGTCAAAGGATATGTCGCAAAAAATAAAACTTATAAGTTAAATTAAAAAAAAATCTTTATTAACCGATGCTCTAAAAAGGGTAACAGTAGATTGGCTAAAGTGCATTGACCATGTCATAAAAGAAGAACAAAAAATTTTAAAAATGATGTACTAGATGATTTGGTTGACCGTTTTGTGATAGAAGTTGGTGCGACTAGTTCCTCAGAGGAAGACGGGAAGATTTTGAATAAAATTGTTTACTCTATATTTGCTAGTTTTATTTGAAAAAGAAATAGACTTATTGTATTGCATACCTACCATACAATAATTTGTCTTATTAACAAATTTTATTTACAAACCAACATCAATAAAAAAGTTTGAGAAACATTGGTTTGTTTGTTTACATTTTGTCTCAGAGGAAGTTGAATAGACTATAGTCATACAGTAGTGACAGGGACGCTGGGCCTGTGGAACTTTTTCAAAAGATAGACTTTACATACCTTTACACAGAGTAAACAGATTAATGCTCGCGAGTTTTTGATATCAATATTAACTAATTTTATTCAATGTATCATGCATCGATATTTTTAACAATCGAATTAAACGACATCCCTACAGAGGACTTTATTTATCTATGAGTTAAAAAATGGCGAATATGTCATTGAGACGTATCAATGTTTTCTAATTGGTTTTCTTCATATTTTATTTTAAATTTTAATAAATTACTATACATGTAAATTATTACTCCATAAGATTTTACTATGTCCATGAATAATTTATCTACGGTTATGAAATCTTGTTCGGAGAGTGAGCTCATTAGTGAAGTTACTGATGCTGCTATGACACCAAAGCAATCAGAAGGATCCCGATTAAAGAGGACTTTTACACTACCTCGTAATCCGTTTGGAACAGTAAAACCTACTTCCAGTAAAAATAAAACCCTTGACAATGAGAGTAAACCAACGAGTGCCTCTTCTGTTGGATCTGGTGAATCTCAAAAGGAAGAGAATAGCCTAGAAAGGAAGTTATTCAGAAGGCCGTCATGGAAGAGATTTCTGAATAAGATTGCGCAGCATATGAGCTCTGTCAACGCCCCTGGCGTAAGTAAATATAGTTATGATTAATATTCTTTAATAGTTTGTGACCTTGAGATAAATGCTTCAATTTGTAAATTTCAAGGTTTCCTGCAGGAAGACTCCAGATAAAGATTTTGTTGTTGTAATTCTAATTTTAGTATTTATCTTGAGTATATTTAGAAAGTGGGATTTCAATATTCATATACTTGAACTCATCACACTTCATAACTTTTCTACTACTATCATTGCAAATATCACTTAGTTTATTTGTAAAAAGTTATTATTGTACTCTTTTATTTAACTATTTTTGCCACAATTACAGGTTAAATCTGCACCACCTATTTTTAACGGTGAAAGAGTACCATGTAGTGGAGATCCTCCATGGCCTCCTGGTGCAACTCCTGCTGCCTCGGGTATTAAAAACCATGGGAACACTTGTTATATGAATGCAGTACTGCAGTGCCTTTCCCATACTGATGTTATTGCTGAATATTTTGTTTTGGATCACTATAAGGTTGATAAGTATTTTAACAAACTAAACATATTTATGTGTGACATAATTCATATTAATAAATTTCATACAGGGATAGTATTAAAGCTGCAAATGTTGTATTATGGTTATATATCCAAGTTGATCATTGGATCATTGATTTACCCAGTGAATCTGGATTTGGATACTCACTGTTTGGATATACTATGTTCAGCTCTTCCCCTTGTTGTGCTGTAAGATTTTGTGTTATATGTGCAAGGTAGATTTCCTACTTGTTTCAACATTTGTATTGTCTATTGGTGGCAATAAGTCAATTTCATGACATCAGTTCAGTTTTCCTAGTCAATTGCTATGGAACATGTTGTAGAAGGCATAAGTAAATTTTTATAATTTGCAATTGATATAACAGTCTCAAACCAGTTGAGGACTTTGAAATATTACAGAAAATAGTATTGCCATTTATTGTTTTGTGAAAATGATAATAATTTTTAAATCATGGCCATATTTTTATAACATATAATTTACACAAAATTCCCTGAAAATAATACATCATAAATTTTAAGGTAAGCTTTAAGATTTATTGTTTTGTAATTATTTAATAATAATTTCATTTAATTGTGTTTTTCGAACTCATTATCTTACTAAATATAGTATGCATGATTGCTAATAAAATTATATTTTTTAAAGGTTGATCTTCAAAAGCGAAATAAGATTAATTCAAAGAAGTATGGAACTCGTGGGGAAGTAACAGAACAATTAGCTGCTTTGCTCAAAGCCCTTTGGGCATGTCATTATACACCTGATATGAGCACTATGTTCAAGGTAAAATAAATATCACTTTATTTATTGACAGAGAATTATCTCAAAAACTTAATTATAATTATTTGTATACTTAACTTGTAAGATTATTAATAATAGCATTATTCAGATTCACAGTTTTACTGCTATAGTCATTATGGTTACACTAAAATATATGAAAATTTATTAACTTGTGTGTAACAAATTTCACAAGATAAATTTTTATTTGCAATGGTGCTTGCTTAGTTATTACACACCTGGCTATAAATTATATCTTTAATACTAAATATCCCAGGGAGCAGTTGAACGGCATGGTACACAGTATAGAGGCAACAGTCAGCATGATGCACAAGAGTTCTTATTTTGGTTGCTAGACAAAGTTCATGAAGATTTAAATACTGCCACGAAGAAAAAATATAAGACTATCAAGGTAATTTGTTATCAATAGTACAATAATACATATTCTATGGTCTGATTATGATATCCATAATATATTGTATTATTAACATTATTATTGTAATTTCCAGAACACATGTGGTAAACCAGATGAAGTAGTGGCTGCAGAAACATTAGCAAATCATGCCAGAAGAAATAGTTCTTTTGTGCAAGCAGTTTTTCAAGCACAGTACAGGTAAATGTAATGAATATTCGATTAATACAATACCATTATTGTGTTTTTGCATTCATATTGAAAAGAAAATAGTTGTCTGAATATTGATGAAAATACCAAGTAATGAAAATAACATGCTTATGAAATTCGCTAGTTTCACTAAGTAAGTCTTGGGTAGCCCAGTCATTTGGATTATGAAAGGTAAAAATAAAAATATTATTAATTTTTTAGGTAGTTTATGCATATGTACTTGAGTAATTTCTTTAAAAGTGATACTAATAAAATTTACAGATCCGCGCTTACATGCGCAAAGTGTGAGCGCACATCTTGTACATTTGATCCATTCCACTGTGTAAGTGTGCAACTACCTTCTAGATTAGCCACAGCACTGCCATCGCCACTCCCGGTAAATGTGAGTTAATATTTTAAGTTTGTTCTATTTACTTTATTTTTGCTATTTATTATACTTGTACCTGTTAGAAGTGTAAGCATAGAAAAGAAATTCTAAAATAAATATTTAGTAACTCAGTGAATAATTTAAAGGTGGTGTATGTAAATCAACAACCCCGTCAAGTCCGTATTGGTGTAGAGCTGTCAACAAATGCAACAATGGAAGACTTGAGAACTACACTGCATACAGATACTGGCATTGACAGGGATCATATTATTCTGGCAGAAATCAATGAAACAGGTGAATTATTCCATCGCAATTTAAGTACATTCTTAATATATATTACACAGATAACCTGCCATAGATATCGCATGATATTTCTTAAAAAAATAAAGATGCCAACCTTAGTGGTGGGGTAACTGCGGCGACGCTATTTCTACGTATTCCGTATTGCGCACGAACGTATTCCGTAGTGATGGAACCCATATCATAATGTGTTAAAGGCATGTCGATAATTGATCGATATTAAATGTTACTATTAGATGTCATAAAAATATATCTTATTGAATTAATTTTTATTTAATTCACATTTTATAACACTATAAATTGTGTATAATTGTATTTGATGAACAAGGTATCCAACGACAAGGCTTCGGTGAGAGCGTACGCCTAAAGACTTACTTTCAATTGGTTGGTGAGAAAAAAAAAAAAGATTTTTTACAAAGAAATACATTTAAATAAGTTGGAATTTAAAATGGGAGAATAACATCACATTTTAGATATTTAATCACATCTAAAACGAGAATTTAAACCTTCAATAGAGGAAAACTGTTTTTGCATTACTTATTAGTACTCAGAGGTTAGTACCTCTGAGTACTTTTGTGTACTAATTTTTGTACTGAGTGCATTTTTTTTTCTGTATTAGTAACAATGACAATCAATGTTTACTGTAGTTTTTTATATTTAATTTTTAAACTGCAAAAACCAAAGCCTGCCTTGTATAATGTATATGACATTATATGATTGTGAAATTATGATAATACGTATTGCCATAGGGTGGTGTAACGCTCGTGGTAGTTGGGAAGCGGCCGGTCTCGATGCGGGAGCTTTGTACTGCGTGGAAGCACCGCCACTTCTCACCACACCCACCGCGCCTTATCTGTTAGTGCTTTGGGTCAATTTGCTTGAAGGACAGCGCTTTGGTATGTACTATATTAGTCTCAAATATCTTGTATAAATAGTTGCATTATTCACACAGATTGATATTGTCTGTTGAGAATTCGTAGCATTCGATTGATCTATGTAGGTAGTGTATAGTGTTATAAATCAGAAAATTATATATTTTATGCTTATATTAGGCAAGGATAAACCCATTTAAGACTACTGATAGTGAAATTTACGCATTCCAAAGACCAAACAAAAGAGTCCTTTCTCGATTTCTTTAAAATTGAATTATAAAATACCTTATTTAATTGTAATGATTATTTCTTTCTCACTATAGTTTAAATTGAGAATTCTATTTTAAGTTATTTATTGTTTTATTAAAAACATTTAATAATAGTACATTGAAATGAAATGAAATGAAAATATCTTTATTCAAGTAGGCTATTACAAGCACTTTTGAATCGTCCAAAAAAAATTTTTTTTCCCCTACCACTTGTTCAGGACGTCTTTTACGATATTAGTCGTCATTACGATATTAGTGCGTTATGACGGTTTTTTTATTTATTTATTTATTTATTTATTATGACACGCCAACAGCATACACACTCAACATTTACTTAAAATGAGTCATTCAGTAACGTACCTCATGTGTACACCTATAACAGGCATGTACAACATTCACATTTATATATTACTATTATCAGCTAAAGTTACCCATTTCATTAGAAACTAATAACAATTATCAAGTGTTACTAAGTCCAAGTATTATTTTGAAGAACAACATAAAAAGTAATATTCATCAAAACACATAAGCGAAAATTCGGTTATAACATGCGAGACGGAATTTTAATTCTAACGTACTTGAGTAATTGAGCCGAGCATATTATATCCAATACGCATATTGTACGTATATTGTACGACGTTTTTTAACACATTTGCGAGGAAACAGAAAAAAAAAAACATTAAATCTGTGAAAGTACACTGTTTCTTTCCCGCCATTTTAACAGCGCGTTAGCGCTGCCTACTGACTGGCGCCGCGCGGCGATTAGTTCGAAATTTCAATAGCAACAGCGCGCGAAATGGCAAATAATACTGTTATGGAATTTGTATGGACTATAACTTAACTATTTGCTTTGGTAACACACGCGTTTTTTATGACCCGCTTTACATATTTAAAACCGGTGGAATAACATCAGCATTACGAGCAAAGGTGTTAAAAATATACTTACATGATGTCCAAACAGGTTCCCCTTACGCGATGCAAGTACCCCGCGAGATCTCTTATGAAGACCTGCAGAAGCTGATGTTAAAGGAGATGTGCCAGATAATAGCGGAACGTGTGCTGGAGAACTCACAGGGCACAGATATATTCCGTGCTAGGATTGCTGAGGCACATAGGCCGAAGGATCCAGCTTATCTGCAGCCTGAGGTTCGTGTAATTGATTACTTGATTGTTGAACTGTTGGGGAAAGAATTTTAAAACCTTCATATGATCGTGTTAACCTCTACTTCGTGTATCGCTATATAGCAATAAAAAACTCTATATAAAATCATTTATATATATTCTTTATAATAGATGTAAAAAAACATGTATTACAAAAAAATAATAATTACGTGAGTGAAAAGAAGTCCCTGATTTTTCTATACGGTCTTTGCATTTTTGACTATTGAAGTATCTATAACTACGTTTTTAGGCTGCTATCGCTCGCTCGGGGCTCGAGTCGGCGTACTATTTTATATTACTATGTTATTGTGAACTCGTAGACGCTTGGTCAAGAAGCTTCACATACCTAATCTCGCAGACTGCAAATATGTAATAAGGCTCTTAACGTTTAGTTTATTGAAATGTTACGTCACACGATACTCAGTCATGGCCTCTTTGGTTCTCGTAATCCACATATAAATAAGAGGTTGTTTGTGCAAAAATATAATTACAATTTATTTTAAAATTAAAATAAATATACTACATAGATAGATATGTTGTCGTTGAATCCTTCATCTTTTTCCCGTATGACTCCTTTGTTGGTCTACAGCCGAGGGATTTTTTTATATGAAGTGACGGTTTATCAAAACTCACATTTATTAAAAAAAAAATTATTGATATTATTGCAGTTAAGGTAGGCAATTGAAGCAAATAATATTTTATAACAAATGAAGTTTTCTTTACTTTACGGTCTTTTAGGGTAAAGGTTTAAGAACTTGGATTTGGATATTAATTTGAGAAACATTGTTCTACTTCTGATGTGGTTGTATGATATGTTAAATTTATAATTGTTATTCAGCTCCCGCATCCACTGTTCGCGTTAGATGTGGAGCAAGCACTGTGCCCACATGATAAATACCCGCATCTCAGACTTGAACTTTTATGGGATCCAGCTCATAGAGACAGGTATGGGTATAAATGTAGAAAGTGGAACATAAATATTTACGTCTAATATCTTTATAATATTCCTTTTTCTATTTTGCTTAGTTAGACCCTTGTGCTGAAATGGTTTACTTTGAAATTAAAATATGTTTAATGGCTTATCGTAATCTTTATTTATTATTACACTTACAACTTATAAAATAGTAATTACAGAAGATATGGCTTTGTTAATTTATTGATGTAGGTTTATGAGGGTACACGTTAAGAATGTGCTACATACATGTGTGTTAGTAATGATAAACTTGTTGTTTATTCTTATATTTGATTTATTTTGTATTGACAATGCTATATTGCAAAGTTTTCTTAATAAGAAATGCTTAAACATCCACTACATTCCGGATTGCGTAAGGTCACGGGTTGGAGTCTCATCGCAGAGTACCAAGGGCTGGTGGATTTTTAAGAATTTTTAATTGAGAATATTGTTTTTTTATACAATAAACAAGTATTTAATACGAAAAAGTCAACGTTATATTGTTATGAACCCCTAAAATGTAGCATAATCCGTGAGGCGGGCGAGTCGTGTGAGGTGCACGTGTCCGCGGCCGCTGCGTCTTCTGTCCCGCTCACTCTACACGCCTGTCTCGCTCACTACACTCGTGCAGAACATCTCGCGCAGGAGGATGCATGGAGGTAGGAATATAAACATATAACTATTATGTCTCAACGACGTCATCATCATTATAACCACCAGCCTATTAATGTTCTCACTATGGATGGAATTGAATGAAATCGAATAGGGAGAATAGGTCATGACCCTCCATGCGGACCCAGCGGGGATTGGTGGGTATTAAAGATTGCAGATGCAGCCGGGTCCAACGTTTTAATATCTATGCACGGAGAAACTCGAGATAGTAATTTTTTGGTCACCCATCCTATCACCTGCCCTTGCGAAATTTGCTTAACAATCGTATCGCAGAACAAATAATACCCAACTATGTACCTGTACAGAAAGCTCAACTACAAAGCGTGGTAAACGTCGACTGTTTTTTAAGGTTTTTACAATTATATTTTGTGTTTAAAAGTGTTATTTGGGCAAGTTTTAGTAGAGACAATAAATTAATGACTCCATAACGAGGTGTAAATAAAACAGTAATAAGTAGTTAAAAGATTGCTGAAGGGAACGGACTAGGGTTTAAATTACCTCTCATAGACTAGTGATTAAACTAATAGACAGTTGTTACTAGTTTAATGCATATCTTTTAGCAATACGTGGTACGTTTCAGATGTCCACAATGTCAACGGTACATGCCCGTCGTAAAAACTTTAGGACTTTGGTCACTTCCAGACATCCTTGTGATACATTTGAAGAGATTCCGACAGTAAGTAAACAAAATTTTTAGTTATAAAGCTTTTCTCATATATTGTGTATTAATAAAATACTATATTTTCTAACAGACAAGCCAAAGGCCGCACTAGTACAAAGTTAACAACAATGGTGGAATTTCCTTTGAATGATTTCGATATGACGCCCCATCTGGTGAGAAGGAATTCAAATGTAGTCGACTCACCTGGACACTCACGTTCGCCGCGACGAAGACATTCAAAAACTCCCACGAGTGTGCCCCAAGAAAACATGTACGATTTGTACGCCATTTGCTATCATCACGGGGACGATTTGGAAACGGGCCATTATACAGCGGCATGTAAAAATCCATACGACGGTCACTGGTATAAATTCGACGATTCTAGAGTTACTCCGGTGGACGATGAAAACGCATATGTTGAGTTAGTAAATAACACCGCGTACATGCTGTTTTACAGGCGCAAAAAACCTAAAGTAACACATTCATGCTCTACGGACAATCATAACGGCCACTGGGCTCTCCGAATGCCCAAATTCGTAAAAACAAAGCCGGAAATTTTGAACGAACTCACCGAAGTTAAAGAAGAAGTAGTCGGCGAAAATAATATCGAATTGCAGAATATTGAGCCCGAATCCGAATCCGATGCCACGGCTCCAACGAACAGTCCTCTAACGAGAAGTGTAGAAAGTCTACCTGATGATAATATGAATGATGTTTCGACATTCATTAACGAGACTGTATCAATCGTTCATAACACTGCTACTATAATACAGTCGCCGACTCTGCAACGGCCGTTGATAGTCGAAGTGAATGGAAACAAAACGAACGAAGATTCGAACGATAACGAAATAAGTGGATCCGTTGAGCCATACATACATAAAGACGTTCATATAAATCCAAAAATGACTCCTGTAGATTCGCGGCGGCCGCGGTCTGTAGATTATCCGGTGCGAACTAGCGTATCCTCGAGTAGAGACACGAATCGGAACTACGAAAGTTCGCCGCTAGTGGCGAGCATAAATGGCGTCGAGTACCATCCCACCACAGAAGAATTGATGCTAACTATGTTTCAAGAATCCAAATATATAGTGCCGAGGCACGGTAATCATATTACCGGAGAATCTCATAGAGCGGGTGAGTTATATCAAACAATTTTTTTATTATGATATATCAACTTAGTGATTTTTATTTGAAAGAAAGTTAAGTTTTTATCTTTTCAATTTTAACTACAAATTTATTTCATTTATAATTGGGCCCACCAATGATGTCTTTCAGTTCAGAATGTCCAATTCCCAAAGTGTCCAACGATTTCACCATGTCCAATTTCCGAAATGTCCGATACCCGAAATATCCATTCTCGAAATTCCTACAGAGAACATATTTAAAATATCCATTGGATTCAAAATTCCTATAGAGAAGATATTTATTCATTTGTATAGACAACAAACCCAACCATCATGATAGTAGATTGGACATTTCGGAAAATGAATATTTCTGGAACTGTACATTTCAGGAAATGGATATTCTGAACTGAAAGGCAACAAGGTTCCGTATGCTAAAAAGTTTTCATAATTTAATGACGATTGACTTCATTAATATCAATTCAACTTTATTAATTTATTCTTAGGTGAGAAGTCATCTGTCTGGAAAACTCGAATATCAACGTGAGGACTGCTGGAGACGCACGAAAACCTAATAAGGTTTTATTATTCTATTATTTTATAACCAATGTTAGATCTGCTTGATTTAGTTGACAGATTAGAAGAAGCAAATAAGTAAGTTATTGAAGTTAACGAGTGATGAGTAAATATAAGCTTGTTTGCGTTTCTATAGTTATCAATACAATATTTAATGTCTTTAATTTATAATACTTTTCTCCAATAAACCAATCTAAAATCTAAGAACATAAATATATAAACTACATTTTTCTTATTCATTTAGCCTTAATACATTTACGCTAGAGGCAATAAAAGAACTTTCCTCTTTTAAATATATAATTAGTTGAAAATAAAATACTGCCTTATATTATATGTTTTTCCTTACCAAAGATTGGCTGGATATCATGATACTCAATTAAAGAAAAACAACTATAGCATTATGTAGTTTTATGAGAAAATGTATAACATTTTTATGTTTGTAATTTATATTAATTGGATGTTTAAAATCGATGAATAGATTGTTGCTTTCTTTTATTTTATATTAATTTTATTGAGGTTTTGGTACTTGATTATAATATGAAGTTTCCTGTAGAAATAATACTTATATATTCTCCAAATATACCCCCAATAAACTATTTCATAGGACCCATAATTGTGTGATGTCAATGCATTGGCGAATGTTTGTAATACGATGATTATTGTAGATAAAATATTTCACAATTTTTTAAAGTAAATAATAAATCGTAGTTAGCAAGCGTAACAATCGAATTTGATGTAAAACCCTAATGTGCCTTGGTCCTAGGGAAGTTGTGATTTTATGAAATAAATTGCCGACGCATACGTTTAATTGTATCACGTTTTCATTGAATATTTTTAATACATATTAGGATTTTATATTTTATGTTTTTATTTTTTATATATAAAAGGGCCGTGATACTGCTACCTGTCGATTTGTGTGATTTTTGTGTACGATTGTATATACTGTTTTTTTAAATATAGGTATATATAAACGTTGTACATATTTCAAGGGTTCTTTTTTAATTATTTAATGATATATTGTATTATTTATGAAAATAAATATTTTTTTAAAAGACAGTCTGTATTAGTTTGAAATTTTGTTGCAATAATAATAATAATGGCCTAAACAAAGACAAATCTTTAGTTCCAGTGTTACATTATGAACATTGTTTCTAAATTAGTCGTTAAAAGGATAAACAAATATTTGGGATATGTTTACAAAAAACAATGATGATTGATTACTTTATATGTTAAGAGATGACGCATAACATTAGAACCTATTTATTTTCGATAATTATTGCAATAAAATCATGTGTTTTATATTAAAATGTCTACACTGTCGTCTTGAATTTTAAGCAGTACGTAGTTAAACGGATGCGTTACTATAAACATATTATTATAATAATTGGTAAAGTACTCTAAGGATAAATGGATTGCTCTCAGTTTTTATAGTGAACTTTATTTGTGAACGTCTTTTAGTTACCCGATTAACATGTGAATGATGTTTACAGTTCCGTTTTATGAGGCGTTTGAGTTGGATGATTTGACGATCACTCCTAACACTAACGATTTTTTTTTTAAATATAATGATAGCTAATAAGGGTGGATTCAGCCTACAAGTGGAGGGAGGGGTATTTCACAAAGTTGAGTATCACTCTTTTTTTGCTTGAGTAAATATTATCTGTTAACTTAATTCACCTTTTTGATACTTAAATGGGTACATACACTATATCTATGTATGTCTGGCGGTTCAGGGGGTTATGACTTGTCACTTAACGGTCAAGCGGTCTAGCGCGGTCACGTTACCCCCTCCCCTTCCGCTGGATCCACCCTTGCTTACTATAGATTTATTGTGTAATCAATTAATGATGCACCATTGATGGAGCATTGATCGAGTTTGTGATCGTCAACATTTTACTTATTTTGTATTATTAGTTTCGTTGTTTTATTTAAGATGTTTATGATATTTTCACCACGTTATGTTAAATTATATGTGTTATTGTACACGATTAATTGTTTTACTTGTATCATTTTATGCCCTACTTCAAGCTACTTGAATGATTTTTTTCATAAATAGTATACGCGGCATGACCTATGAATAGTTTTATACTTCATAACTTAGGTACTCTATAACTTACACATGAATAACTGTTTATATCAAGCCTAAGTATCTCCAGTAGCTATCGCTGTTTCTATAAACATAATTGATTTTGGATAAATAGATAATTTCTATCCACAATAACTACCTGCCTCTTGGTGGGTCGATCGCTTACCATAGTATCTTCATATGAAGATACTTAAATAAGAATCTTCATAAAAAATTGAGATTTATAGCAATATAACCGTATACATGATGCTATTAATTATTATATTTTAGAGGAAATAGGTAGTAATTATTACTGTAATAAGCATAAATAATACTACTGCGGGCGAACCTAGGTATAAAATAGTTTTTAATTCACTAATGTGCCTCTGGGAAATATTGTGTTTATATTTTTGGCGTTCAATTATTTTAATAACAAATATAAATTTTAGTTACGAGATCGAGTTTGGGTTCGGGATAAAAATCAACGCCAATTAAGTTCACAATCAGACTTTATTTAATCAACAAAATTACAAAAATAAACCAATAACAAAATACACACACTCCGGTCACTTCATAACACTAGTAGATCGTTCACCGCACTAGTTGTCGCTTCCAGATCGGTTAAAAACTGAATCACTTGATCACTGAAGAACACCGGGACGGATGGCCCACCGCGTATTTATAGGGGCCGAGGTAGAGCCTACCAGCATCTTGAAAATTCTAGGTTGGCCTCGGCCCTTACCGGTATGGATGCAAGAATATATCAGACAACCGAAATATACTAGTATTGTGATATTCTTGTGCCCTGAAGGGGCACACAATTCTAAACGAACCTTCGATCGGAGCGACCGCCCCCCACGAGGGGGGAAAGGGCGCAGCCTTCTCGCTTTTTCTTCTGGCTATCAACCTTAAAGGGACCACTTTCCCAACGGGGGAAGGAAGCGGTGAATCCTCTCATTCGGTACCTCACAGCCGGCTGTGAGGTTATGTTAGACTCCTACTGACTTAACACCGTCTTGGACAGTTGGTTGCGTGCCCTGATGGGGTAACGAACCTACGACCGGAGAGACTTTGGGTGGCGCAGACGTCACTATTCACATGAATTGTGACATCGAGATGTTAGCCGTTAACACCGGAAGGCTCGGCTCATCGGGGGTCTTTACTACTGCGCCGTATACTTAATGATACGTAATGCCATCAAGTAATAACTATAATAAACAGAAATCATTCTACTACGAGCTAACCCATATAATTATCTTTGTAATGCCCTAATGTGTAGTCAGAGAAATATAGTAACAATATTTGTGGTATTCATTAGATAAATTTCATAGCAAATATTAACTATACTATGAATAAAAATAGGTATATAGTGATAATTACTATAATAAATAGAAATCATTTTGTTGCGAATGGTTGTTGATCTAATAATACAGAATAGGATATGAAATAATTGCGACAGTTTTAGTCCTTAGAAAGTTGTCAACCTTGAGTATCAAAGTATTATAATGTGGTATCAAGTTATGCCAATTATAACGCTTCTATATGATAATTACTTCTAATAAACTATTAGAAGTAATACGTTTAGAACAATGAGCATAATAAACACTCAGATTATTTCATGAAATAGGATAAACTTTCAACTGAAAATCCATCATTGCATTGGTTGGGATTAACTGTGAAAAAAAATAAGTATAGTTCAAAATTTGCCAGATTTCTTTGAATATTGAGTATATTATTATATTTGATCAATTCTGCATCTACAATATTATTAACGAAAAATGTTTAAAAAATCCACCAGCCCCAGGGTACGGTTGATAAATAATAAGTATATTGCCAAGTTGCGCAAATTTGATATTTAGCCTTAAACTGTCTTGTGGCTTCAAGTTATTACAGAGCTATATCGGCACTAAGAATATTTTCTAGTAAACAAGGTAATAGCTAGGTAACTAACATTATACATTGTTAGGTAATCTGTTATTATCTAACTCTGAAAAAAGAGGAGGTTTATTTGACTGCATGCGAGCCGATAGTGGATGGATTTTGTTATTTTTTGTTTAAAAGGGTTTTGTTAGAAAGTCCCAATAAATCTTAAGAAGCTATTTTTAACCAATTTCTTTTAGAACTAAACCAAATCCAAAATAATTATTTAAAACTCATTTAAAGGTTCAAACTTCAAGGCATGACTAGTATATCCTGTATACATAAAGTTTCTTGAATTTATTTCATTTGTAGTTTATAAGAACTATTTTTAGTGTTATTAGTAGGCTTTTTACTTTGATTCCAAACTTCGAATGTAAGAATTAGCAAGCAATAAATAGGTACATTAATAAAACGTGTAGGTATCTCTTGTCACAAAATGTTCGTTTGATATTAAGTGTTTAATTTATTATTAAATAAAAAGTTGTCTAAAGTGTGTGATTTAGTAAAGACCTCGCCTTAAATAATGTAACTATAGTAACATTGTATTGCCCGATTAACAAGAAGTGATTAATGCGTTCGTGATGTGGCAATTATGTGCAAAAATGTATTTGGTGGTAATACGATGAGGTCGAACCCACGCCGAGCTGGGCATTGTTTTTAAACATGGTTTGCAATTTTAGTTGCGCAAATTAACCTCATGGCAGTGTATTCAATGTGACTGCATTGAAGGTTTGCAATGATACACTTAACAACAATTATCTATAAGTTCCTTTCGAGGAGCTCAGTAGTGGTTACATTAATATTGACCTATCGAACTCAAATAAGTTTCTTGAATTTTAAATTGCCCCTCGTAGTTCTTATCATTTTTAAATTTTTATAAGGAAATATTTACTTACTGTTTTTAGTGATAAGGTGTGAGATATTGAAGATTACTAATTCTTCATGGTAATTAAAAACTAGATTCCGAGCATCATGATTTTTGATGGGACCAGCATGGGAATATATCTTTTCGAATAATTAGATATTTATAGATGTGACATTAGGAAAAACCGGTCAAGTGCGAGTTGAACTCGCGCAAGAAGGGTTTCGTACCGAAAACGAGTGAAAACAAGTTTATTTTGTTTGGGAGGACCCTTAAATATTTATTTTATTTTGTTTTTTGAATTTGTTGTTGAAGCGGCAACAGAAACACGTCATCAGTGAAAATTTCAACTGTCTAACTTTCACGGTTCATGAAATACAGACGGACAGACAGTGAAGTATTCTTAATGAAAAATGTTTAAACAATCCATTTTGTCCCTGTTACTCTGAGATGGGATTCGAACCTAGGACCTTTCTAAAAAAATGTATTTATGGTTTATGTGGATCTATGGATATAAACAATTCCTTTATTCGTTTTAAAAACCATATTATTATTGTATCAAATAAAAATAAATAAAGCGATAACTTAATTTTGTTGTAGTTACAGCAAAAATGCCACATATTGTACAATATTTTAAAATACGTCAATGTAGATTAGAATAGAATAGAAGCGTTTATTTGACATAAGATACAAAGTAACAAAATATTACATAGCAAAAAAAATAAAAAAATATAGTTTATACTAAACGGGCCTCTATATTCTGACTGGACTGAACGATTTACTGCTTCTCATAATTTTTACTCTATGACAAAAATGGATGTAACTACTCTTATGGTTTTGTAAAAAGTTGCGAAAAAAGACATAACCGTCGTCTTTGATGTTCTTTTCTTCCGAAAAATCGACCGTAATATTGGTATAGATTTACTCTAGGCACTATGGTCTAATATTTTCAACATTTATAATTTTTATATTATATTCCTAATTCGATCAAAGCTAAAATTTATTGAAGAAAATTGAAAATTTGTGATAAATAAGCTGGTGTAGGTATTGCTTTGTGTACCTATTATACACTAATCAGGATCAGATGATTTCCGTTAAGCAGGACTGAATACGCAAGTGAGCAATTTTCATCAGAACCGTCAAGCAGATTTTGACGTTAGGCGTGACAGGATGAAAACCCGACTACCTGTTGCCATTGACTATCACTTAACAGCCGGAGCGCACACGTGTCCTTTTTGCTCGTGGGCGTTCTTAAATACGATCGGATTTATTAAAGCCACCGTCGTGTGCATCAGCGCCAATCGAAGTAAGAGTAGGAGTCAGAGCGGTCGCCAAGGACGATATCGGTCTGAAGCATTTTTTTTTGCCGACTGAACTCTCTCCTGCTGCTTTGGTTAAAGAACCTCCACAGCAGGCCTACCGTGAAAAACCCTCCGTATTACCCTCACATCAGTCTGGAACCTGGTATCTAGCAAGGAAACCCAAGTTATCCAGACCAGATCATCACTACTAGTAATAGTTTTGGAATAATTATAACAAGATACAATCAAATTATTTCAACAACTTTATATATCAATCGAATGATATGCGCTGCACGCACACTCAATTCGAAGCCCAAATGATAAATAAATGTCTAGACATATGTTTTTGATAAATTTTAGTTTGTCTAGTTCCATTTGACATAATAAATACGTAATACTGCGATTAAAATTACCTAGTAAAAAAATGCAAAACGTGCGGTAGATTAGTTTAAAAAGTGAAATCTTGTGAAACAGCTTTACGTATCACTCGTGCTATTTACACACGCTACTTGAATATAAAGTGTTATGTACCTTTATATTGACTGAATAATATTTAAGGTAATATCCGAATTAGAAATTAACATTTATGAGTAGATAGCTGAATACATTTCATTGAGTTCTATTTTTTTTCGTTTCTTAAGGGTGTTTGTTTATCAGAAACATTCTTGAGAATAATGTCACATGTCATAAATCAAAGTTATGATTCATTAAAATAATAGGCATGCAATTAAAATATAACTGGGAACAATGCTTCAAATGTAACGGAACTCTCGTCATAATAGACCTTATCTTTTTTCTTTAAATTCTTACACTTGGCCTTCCATGTCTGCCAGTTACTGTTTAAGCAGTATCTCTAATTGCATAATTTGTAGTGCAGCAGGTTATAATGTACTG